AAAATGTCCGCTACTGGTTTTCCAGAACTGGTCAGAACCTGCTGAAATACCACCTCTGATAGGAAGAATGCCTGTGAGTAGCCACATAATATACAGGTAGTCTTCAACTTGCAACAGTTCCTTTAGTGACTATTCACGTTACAAGGGCACTGGAAAAAAATGACTTATGACCGTTTCTCACACTTACAGCCGCTATTGCAGCATCCCCATGGCCATGTGATCAAAATTCAGCCGCTGGGCAACTAACTCATGTTTGTGAGGGTTGTTGTCTCCCAGGGTCAAATATGCTTACCTTTTGCCACCTTCTGACAAGCAAAGTCAATGCGGAAGGCGGATTCACTTAACAATCGTGTTACTAACTTAACCAATGCAGTGATTCACTGAACAGCTGTGGCAAGAAAGGTGACATGGGGCAGAACTCACTTCATAAATGTCTCAACAACAGAAATGTTGGGCTCGATTGTGGTCATAACTCGAGGACTACCGGTGTTGGATATTTTGGTATTAACCGGATGCCCCACAGTCAGTCACAGCATGTTCTAGAGCAGGGGTCCCCAACCTTGGCAACTTGAAGACTTGTGGACTTCAACTCCCAGAATTCCTCAGTCAGCTTCAACTTTCAGATTGGTAGACTTCAAATCCACAAGTCTTAAAAGTTGCCAAGTTTGGAGACCTCTGCCTTAGGAGATATAATTTCAATTTTCAAGATGTGATTTTTACCAGTGTTTTTTTTACTCTCCACCAGATCACACTACTTCAGTTGGCACACACACATTAACCCTTTTTCAAGACTTTCTCGGGCAGTTAAAATATTCTTGTTATTCTTTTGTGTGTTTGTTTTTCAAAGGGCACTGCCTGTTCCTGTTTTATTTATATTTCCTCTAGTTTTGAGTAACATTTGCAAAATGTTTGTAACTATAATATGCATTTTTCTGTTCTCCCCAAGGGAGAGATGATTAGGAAGCTGGTTGAAATAAGCCATAGGAACACCAGGTGGCGGAATTGGGTTATATTTCCTCAAAAATCTGAAAATATCCTATTGTGCACACTGCCACTGAACTAAGGAAACAATGCATTGTCTTACCGCAATTTCTAAAACAACCACTGGTGTGGGTGAAACCTGAGTGTGAATAGCAATTTCAGGATAGTGTAAGTCACATAATTTACTTAAACCAGGAATTCCTGAACTTGGGTTCTTGTTGTCTGTCATTCTGGTTTGTTTATTCTTTGTGTTAGCCTTAATCACTACTTACAGCCTCCTCAAAGATTTTTGAACTGAGGTTCAACTCTTTATTGATTCCTGTGCTCAGTGAACCAAACGCTCAGGGTGGTGTATAAAAGGAGAAGCTGCTAGATTTCTGCACGGCCTACAGTAATTCAAATTGCTATGATGAAAACTCCACCAGCCAGAAGTACAGTTGTTTTTCTGTTCGGCGAAGTGCACTTTTATAATGTCTGGTGTGAAGTTTTGACAGAGGAGATTCTCCTACACAGAGGAGATTCAGATCCTGAATAAATTCCCCTTTGAATATGACATGAAACTTGGCAGCTAAATACAGAAGTGATTGTGTATTCATCTGGTGCTTCCTCTGTAACCTCCAAAGCTTCAGTGATAGACGGGTTGTTGCAGATATGCTTCCCTTTATCGGCACTCTATATGTGAATTCAATGGCTTTTGCAAATCCTACTTGGGAAATATTGTCCTGGAGCGTTTTGTGAGGAACACCTGTAAAAGTGGTAGGATTCTAGTTTTCTCACCATCTTCTCTAATGCAATTAGAGAAGCACACAATTGTGTGAAAAATGCACAATATGAATATATTTAAGAGTTAGGAAAACTCTTAAATATAGTCATATTGTGTATTTGTCATTCTTTGTGTTTAGTAACCAGTGATATATAATAGAGATTGTGTTAATATGTAGACTGGATTATAACACCTATCTGAAATGAAGGGGAGGGGGCGCAGAAATACAGCATCGTGTTGACATCACGTTACGTATCGCAATGTTTTTCCCCTTCATGGAGCCGGTGTGGGCGTGGCATGGCCTGCATGTGACACATCCAGCCCGCAGGCCGCCAATTAGACACCCCTGCTGTACCTCTAGCGTGGTGGCCTAGAGATGGCGCTCTTGCCTCGCAATCAGGAGGCTATGAGTTTGATCCTCTGAGCACAAAGAGAAGATATCTGCTGCGAACTCCATGTAGGCCTCAAGAAGGGCAAACAGCCAGTAAACGCTCAGCTCCATTCAGTCGCCCTGATTCTATTTCAGACGTGTGTGTGTGTGTGTGTGTGTGTGTGTGTGTGTGTCTGTAGAATGTAGCTACCTGGGGAAGGCTCTAATACTGGAAAATATGGAAGAAAAATGAAGAGAAGGACAAACAACCATGAGGTCAACAGTAATCAGTAATCAAGATTGCATTGTTCGAAGAGCTGGAAGACTAGGCTGCGGATAGACCATTCTGGAGAAAATCTATGTCAGTGATGTAAAACTTTTGGACTTGGGATGCCCAAACTTTAGAAAATACCTAATAACTCTGCCGTTTGCACCAAGCAATTCTTTATGTATTTTTTTAATGCAGTTTGTCTGTGTGTGATCTTGAGTATTTCATAAAGAAACATCAAATAATTACAGAAATAAAATATGAGCAAAATAAACTCAAACACATGTAAAACAATGAAAAAAGCCAGCTATTGAATCAGTTTCCTTATTAAAAACAGCATCGTACAGCATATTAATCATACGGAATGAAAACTGCAATTATGCAGAAGTATAACATAAGAAAAAGTGAAAGAAAAAGCAGTGACTTAACAATAAAAACAACATGCACTCTGATGGGCTTAAAATAGTGTGCTAAAACATTTATTCTGCTTTTAATAGTAGTTTGGAATAGAGCTGAAAAAAATGTGGGACGTTGCATTTTATTAGGATTAACATCCATGAATTTTAATAGATAAGTCTGAAAATAAAGGTAGGTATTTTGTACACTTCAAACTCAAGTATTAGTACTCATGGCAGTCGGTTCCTTTTGTGTGTTTTTAATATTGCCTAATGCCAAGAACAATATCTAGCAAAATTTATATAAAGGAAAAAAATATGCATAAAGCCACTGCTAGATTCTTAAGGGTGCTGAAAGTTTCTGGTATTGTTTGAAATGATCATTTGCTCTACTGCTGGTCAAATAAACATTCTGTCCGAGCTCCATATAAATCTCAGGGGGTGGAAATGCCTATGTAGGACAGCTCCAGGTTTCATGAGGCCTTTACTCTGGAAGTAACTTTGGAGAAAAAGTAGTTTTGCAGCCTCCAAAAAGCATGGAGAAGTCCTGTTCTCACATAAGTTTTGGAGGCTCCAGAGCACACCACTCTCTTCTGTTACTCTGCAGCCTCAGAAAATCAAACAAGTATGGTGCATGTTAGTATGTCATTGAAAATAACATGGCATGTCACCTGTGATGGGTATGTCATGGGTCAGTGGTGGTTAACCTTTTTGGCACCGAGTGCCAAAATGGGAGTGTGCGCTGCCAAAAAGGAACTGAGTGCTGAAACACGTGCACTCACTTGGAAAAGCAGCTCCCAGCACGTGCAGGCACACCAGCCACTTGGTCTTCCAGCTTCTAACGCGCATGCATGCTGGCCAGCTGGTTTCTAACGCACATGCGTGCGCTGGGCAGCTGGTCTTTATGTGCACATGCGCATTAGAAACTGGAAGACCAGGTGGCCGGCAGGTTTCTAACGTGCATGTGTGCCGGGCAGCTGGTCTTCATGTGCACATGTGCATTTAGAAGCCAGAAGACCAGGTGGCCGGTGCACATGCATGTGCCAGGAGCATGTACCAGAAGCTGCTCATCCAGTTTCTGGTGTTCCCATGCGCGCAAAGACCAGCCAGCCGGCACACGCCAGAACCCGGAAGAGTAACGGGTGATACCTGGCATGTCCAGAGAGACTGCATGCCACTTCTGGCACACGTGCCATAGATTCACCATCACGGTCATAGGTTCACCATCACCGATCTGTGTGGTTGCTAGGAGCCAAAAATGACTGGATAACATGTAATTAATCACACTTACTTATATGAAACCAAAGAAATCTGCGTCCGTTCTTTTCTTCCCCACTTTGAAAAAGTGTCTTGTATAGATTAGAAACTTGGCCTTCTGCAGTGGGAAAGGAAAATGGCTAGAATAGTAGAAGACTCTGTTGAGAGTCTGCTCCTATTTCTTTGTCCAAGGTAGGAGAGAAGTCAGGTGGGGAGGTGTGGGGACTGAAGTCAAATGGCAGCTGGTGGTTCCTCAGCCTTAACTTGCCATAACCAACTGTACAATTATCACCTCAGTAACATCTCATGAACATATTTGGTCTAGTGATTAAAGTAGCTGGCCTACAAACCAGGAGACTGTGAGTTCTAGTCCCGCCTTAGCCATGAAAACTGGCTGGGTGGCTTAGGACCAATCACTTTCTCTCAGCCAAACCCACCTCACGGGGTTGTTGTTGTGAGAAAACCAGAGGAGGAAAGTTTATTTGGTATGTTCACCGCCTAGAGTTATTTATCAAAATAATAAAGGCAGGATATTAATAAAATAAAATAAATAAGAAAATAATTAATGCACGCTAAACACAGCAAACATCTACTGCAGACTTAATGTATTCATATTTGATAATGCCCTAAAGAATAATATTTTCCATTTTGAGGCTGATACTTCTATACCTGTTTCCGCTGCATCTATTTTACAGAATGCAGAATAATAAAATATTTTTTCCCCGTGACTGACAATATTTATCCTTTTCCTAACAGGAACTTACTTTTTGATTTTTTTTCTCTCTCTTGTCTTTACAGTTTTAATTAAATCTTAAAACAAGTTTGTGTTTTATCAAATGTAAGCTGTCCTAAGGCTAGAATGACAAGGGGAGGATGCCAGCATTATAAATAAATAAACATATTGAAGCACCTGGCATTTCATTCAACATGAAAACAGCTCCATTATTTTTTGTTTGTTTCTAACAGGTGAAAGCCATGGATGCAGATGAAGGTGTGAATGGCCGCGTGTGGTACAGAATTGTCAGAGGTAAATAGATATTTTGGATATCTATATTTTGTAAGGACTCTTATATATATATTGAAACAGGGGTGGGATTCTACCAGTTTGCACCTATTCGCTAGAACCAGTTGTTAACATTCTAAACGGTTAGGAGAACTGGTTGTTAAAAGAAATTACTGGCCTAATCCTGTAAGGAAGGCAGGAAGGAAACATTCTGGTGTTGCTTACAGAAACTGCCTCTGTTAATCCTTATTACATTCTTGGCAGGACTAAACTTCCTCTCAGGAAATTCTCTGGAGTTTTTTTCACCTCCTTTGCTGGTACTTTGGTTGCATGGAGTGACCATTAAAAGTTACAATGGCACTGAAAAAAGTGACATGACCATTTTTCACACTTACGACTGTTGCAGCATCCTCATAGTCATGAGAGGCCAGGAGAGGAGATGCGTGCCTTGATGTGAGTGATATTGAGTTGGCCACACCCAGCCAATCGCATTACCACCAAGCCATGTCCACCCAGTCACATGACCACCAAGCCACGCCCACCACATATGCCCACAGAACCGGTTGGTAAAAATTTTGAATTCCACCCCTGCTTTGAAACCATACTGATTCCCATGCAGCCTAACTCCAGTTTCCTTGTTTGTATAGCTCAGGGGTCTTCAAACTTGACAGCTTTAAGACTTGTGGACTTCTACTCCCAGAATTCCTCCTCCAGTCATGTTAGCTCAGGAATTCTGGGAGTTGAAGTCCGCAAGTCTTAAACTTGCCAAGTTTGAAGACCCTTGGTATAGCTCTACTATTTCCCTCCAGACTTAATTATTGAGAGAAATAATCTGAGTGGATTCAACTTCTAATATATCTACTTCGCTGTGTAATGAAATTGAAATAAACTTCCCTTTTTAAAACCTGATGGACCATGTTTTATCATCTTTTTGATAGAGGTATATGGGTACTCTGCAAATTATAACCATTTGTTCAGTAACTGTTCTGAATTATAATGGCACGGAATGAAGGGCCGGTCAAAGCAGTCACATGATGTCTCACTGAATGACCACTTTGCTCAATTGAGATACTGAGATACTTGTAGCTCAGGGATTATGTGCACTGCCAAAAACTGGGGCCATTACATCTACTTATCTTAACATATACTCTGAGATCATGATCCTCAGAAGGTTCCTTTCCTTTGTATTCAGCTGCTGTAAGTCATTAAGAATAAAGCCAAGGGTTGCAATAAGCAGGAAGGATTGGGGAAAGTGCTGTAGACTTCTTGCTAGCTCAGGATCTCTGTGCAATTAATTAAAGTGTGTGAATTGGACCAGAGGAAAATAACTTTGTAGTAGTTCTTTAAAGCAGAAACACCGGTTTTCCAAGATTATGGAAAAGGAAGCCTGAAAAAAGTTGGGTTACTTTAATTTACATTATAGAGGTGCTGTCCTTGTGCAACTTCTAAGTGCCCTACCAAAGACATTTTGTAATATTATAATATATCTCTCTCTCCCTCCCTCCCTCTCCCACTCTCTTTCTCCCTCCCTCCCCCCCCCCATCTCTCTCAATGTTTCTTCACCATAGCCATTTTAACATATCTCTATCTCGTCTTGAGGTTGAGCTGGATGGAATAGTAAATTTTCCACTGTGTTGTTATCCTGATATGCATTATTTGGTAGTTTTTCTTTCTTATCAACAGGGAATAATTTCAACAATTTCAGGATCAATCCCAGCAATGGGCTGGTCATGCGGGGTACACGACCCCTGGATAGAGAACAAAATTCATCCCATGTTCTTGAGGTGGAGGCTTACAATAGTGAGCAAGGACCAATGAGAAGTTCTGTCAGGGTAAGGTCTTTTTCCAAAATACTACAAATCAGTTATCTTTTTCAGGCTGTGGCCCTCATCACGGGGCTTTGAGTGAATGTCATCAATAATGTCCATCCTATGGCATCATGGATTGAATGTTGTCAAGAGGAATTGCACTGCCAACTGGTGTTTTGGGGTTAAGGTTAGGGTTAGGGTTAGGGTTAGGTTAGCGCTACCGGTTCTCCAGAACTGGTCAGAACCTGCTGACTACCACCTCTGCTATAAAATATGGGTAACATCTAATTGTTTCACATATCAGAAAACAATTACTCACAGTAAAGAACTAAAACAGTTGAAAATCCATGAGTCACCCATTGCATGTTTTTTATAGATCTGCCCGAGGGATATCTTTCGCTATGATACTTGTAGAGATTGGATTGTTGCTTTTCAGTCCATCTTATTCCTAGCTGGGAGTGTCATTGCTGATTAGGATGAATAATACAAATGGCCTTGGTTTCTTTTTTTAAAAAATATTCCCTAAATTGCATAACCCATTGGATAAATAGCCATTCATCTAGTGGCCTTTCGAAGTTACAACAGCACTGAAAAAAGTGACTTATGACTCTTTTTCACACTTACAACCATTGCAGCATCCCCATGCTCAGGCAATCAACATTCAGAGGCTTGGCAACTGACTCATATTTATGTCCGTTGCAGCGTCCTGGGGTTATGTGATCACCTTTTACAACCTTCTAATAAACAACGTCAATGGGGAAGCCAGATTCACTTAACAACCATATTACTAACTTAACTGCAGTGGTTCACTTAACAACGGTGGCAAGAAGAGTCATAATGTCAACTCATAAAATAATTCTATGGTCTTTTAGAGTTGCCAACAAAAAGGGAGGGGGGAGCAATGCGGCAGCTTGCAACCAAAACTGCATTCCATAAATGTTTTCAAAGATAGCAACTAGGTGACTGAAGTTTCTGCCACGCAAAATTCTAACTGGAGAGCATGATTGATGACTCTTGGCTACGGATGTGTCCCATTGGAGAATATGAATTACGATACACCCGGGGGTGGGGGGAAAACCAGGGTCAAGGGTGACAGTGAATGATGTACCTCAGAGTCGGCGACACCCAGGCAGTGCCGGACATGTTAACTCCCAATAAATCCTTTTGAAGTTATGGAAGTTTGGCTCAAGGCTCATGATTTAAATCGGGTTAAGTGCCAGAATCCCGACACATAAAATGGGACAAAATTCACTTAACAACTGCCTTGCTTAGCAATAGAATTTTTGTGCTCAGTTTTGGTTGTAAGTTGAGAATTACCTGTAGGGTAGGAGAAATTACCTGTAAGGTAGGACAAATTTTTATCTCACGTTGATTGTTTTAAAAAAAGAGAGAGCGAGATACTAAGTAGCTACTGAGTAGATGCTGAGTACTTGGGTTCAAAGTCAAAATGTTTTAAGGAGGACATAATAGTGGGGACTCTTTCAAAATCTTTTGTTCCTCCCACTCAACCTATTTAATACAACAGATGTCTGAGGCCTTGTATCTTCTAACATCATTTGGATTAAAACAATACTTCATTCCAAATAAATACGGCTGCAGATAAATAGGGCTTAACAAGCACTGAGAGAGAGCCAGCCTCCTGTAATAGAATACGTTGCTCAAATAGATCACACATTCATATCAATGATACATTTGGGAGTCTCTTTATTTATGGTTAATATATTCAATAATCTCCCAACCCATTTTTCATTATTTCATATGTTTCCCAATTAACAATTCAGTGCCTTGTTGGTGACATTCACTTCTGATAACAGAGTGGCTAGGCGGGATCTAATAAAGTCTTCAGAAAACGCATGGCCTATTCCATTATTCATCTTCTCTCGTTCGTATTGTTCTGAGAGACGTTGTTCTCCTTTTAGAGGATATTAAGGGGACTTTTCTTTCCACCGGAGTAACAGTGTTCGCTGCAGCTAGAAATAGACATTGATCAACAGACTATTTACTTCTGATTTTACAGGTGGCTGAATTTCTATCTAATGCAATTATTTTTAAAGGGAAGCAGGGGGAAACACAATCCTTAAAGCTTCATTTGTTTTAGGTGTGGACGGTTTTTGCTTTGAAGGCATTATTTGTATAGCTGTTCATTCATTCTCTTTATTTGTTGGCTGGCTTGAACAATATTTGCACTATAGCCAGGATTAGCCATATACACCCACTGCAGATATTTGAATACCCTTGACGTTATTGCAAAGGCTCCCAACAATGCTGCATGTCCCTGCTGCCATTTGCGCACCTTGGAAAAGATTCTCTGGTGCCTCCTTTTCTAACCAAGTTGAATATAGGTAGTCCTTGACTTATAACACTCCTGTCAACTCATAAAATATTTCTCTGGGCTTTTTAGAGTTGCCAACAGAAAGGGAGAGAGGAGTAGTGTAGCAGCTTGCAAAACCAAAACTGCATTCCATGGATGTTTTTATAGATAGTTTCCAGGCGACCGAAGTTTCTGCCGTGCAAAATTCTAACTGGAGAGTCTGATTGATGACTCTTGGCTATGGATGTGTCCCATTGGAGGATATGAATTATGATACACCCAGGGGGTGGGGGAAAACCAGGGTCAAGGGTGATGTGTCTCAGAGTTGCAGCACCGGCATGTCCCCTCCTAATAAATCTTCTTTGACCATTAAAAATCTGGCTAGAGACTCATGATTTAAATGGGGGTGACTACCGGAGCCCTGACAACTCTGTTTAGTGACCGTTTGAAGTTACAAGGGCACTGAAAAAAGTCACTCGTGACTATTTTTCACGCTTATAACTGTTGCAGCATCCCCATGCTCATGTGACCAGAATTCAGACGCTTGGCAACAGACTCATTGTCGCGACTACGCAACACACGCGTTTGAAACGAAGCCCAGTCGACCCGAAGAATGGCGATTCCCTCCGTCGGCAAAGACTTTGTATAATAAACACGAGCGGTGTATTGGAAAAGCTGTTTGGTTAAGATATGCGAGTTAACCATGATAAATGTGATTGCATAACAACGAGTAATCATGAGTAGTAAGGGTAATATTGTTAATAAGGGTAATCATGGGTAATAGGAGGTAATAAGGGGAAATCATTATAAATACCGGCCTCTGTGAAACTCGGGTTAGAGCCGACTTTAATTTATTTGCTTAACTATTTTCTTGGAGTCCTTGCGGAGGAAGGAATAAAAAAGAGCTTTTTGTTTTACCAAATATTGAAGCATCGTTTGGTTTAATTTCTCCATGCATTTGGCCCAAAGAGTGGTTGAGACTCATATTTAAGACGGTTGCAGTGTTCTGGAGTCATATGATCACCTTTTGTGACTTTCTGATAAAATCAATGGAAAAGCCAGATTCACGTAACAACTGTATTACTACCTTAAGAACAGCAGCGATTCATTTAACAACTGTGGCAAGAAAGGTTGTAAAATGGGGCAAAACTCACTTAACAAATGTCTCACTTAACAACAGAAATGTTGGGCTCAGTTGTGGTCGTAAGTCGAGAACTACCAATAGTTGCTGACGTTCTACTTGGGCAAGGGAGATAACCTCCGGACTTCGAATCTGGATTGTAAATAGCCCCAAGGAAGGTCCATTATACTTCGAATAGTTGTTAAGTGACTGGGTCAGGATTCCGGCAGTTAACCCCCATTTAAATCATGACTCGCGAGCCAAACTTCCATAACTTCAAAAGGATTTATTGGGAGTTAAACTGTCCAGCACTGCCTGGGTGTAGCCGACTCTAATTCATTGTCACTCTTGACCCTGGTTTTACCCCACCCCCTGGGTGTATCATACTTCATATTCTCCAATGGGACACATCCATAGCCAAGAGTCATCAATCATGCTCTCCAGTTAGAATTTTGCGTGGCAGAAACTTCAGTCACCCAGTTACTATCTTTGAAAACATTTATGGAATGCAGTTTCGGTTTGCAAGCTGCTACGCTGCTCCCTCCTCCCTTTCTGTTGGCAATTCTAAAAAGACTATAGAAATCTTCTGAGTTGACAGACTGCTCATAAAGTCAGTATTAGGCAAAGCAATAGCAATAGCACTTAGACTTATATACCATTTTATAGTGCTTTACAGCCCTCACTAAGCAGTTTTTACAGAGTCAACCTATTGCCCCCAACAATTTGGGTCCTCATTTTACCCACCTCGGAAGGATGGAAGGCTGAGTCAACCGTGAGCCTGGTGGGATTCCATCTGCCAAATTGGAGGCAACTGGCAGTCAGCAGAAATAGCCTGCAGGGATTATTAAGCTTAATGGTTTAGGTAATAATGTTAAATATTTAATGGGATTTAAAAGGGGTGAAAATTAATGTATATGTAACTTAGAGGTGGCACACTTATATTGATATTTCGGGGGGGGAAACCAAATTCTAGAAGAAGTGTATTTTTTTTATTAGAATTTAAGATGAAATATACCAGTGTGACAGTTAAAAGTACTAAAGTATAATGATTATGAAGTTAATATAAATTAATTAAATAATGAGATAAGTATTTGGAATAATACAAAATGGAAAATGTATAAAAGCATTGCTAAGATAAGAAACTGGATACAAAAATTGAATATGTAACTATAATCATATTTGTATGTATATGTGAAACCTGTAATCATGCTGTTTCCTAAAAAGAGATGTTAAAATGAGGAAAACTGAATAAAACTTGTTTAAAAAAGAAGTAGCCTGCAGTAGTGCACTCTAACCATTGCTCCACCGAGGCTCTTTACAAAGGATTGTAAACTTGTCATACTCCTATCAAAAGAGGTCATAATTAGATTTTGCTGCTAAAGACAGAATAATTCCATGGAGAAATGTGGATTTGTAGCTTACTGCAAGGAAATTTCATATATACCCATATCAGCAGATTTATGAGAATCAGTTATGTGTCTGTACATGTGTGTACAACTACTGTACATCAGCAAATGTGGCCCCAAACCTTAATCTGGCTCCTGAATTCTAAAATGTTCCCTTTCCCTACCTGGTACTCTTCACCTTTTGAGTTTGATCAACCCATCCCAGAAGACAATTGCTCTTTCTGATCATCATCTTATATTATAGCCACATATTACAATCATATAATATTACAACCCCATCAATGGTACCTTTAGATGTACCCTCCTTTCCTTTGTCTTTGTGACAACTAGGGAGGTTCTTGTCTGATACGTTTTCTCAAGTTACAGTTCTGGTCCAGACCTGGGTTGCTGTTTTTTTAAATCTGACCTCGTTTGGTAGCAATTGTTCCTCCGGTTCTTCTACGTTGCCTCTTCTGCCGGTTACAGTGGCCAGCAACATTTCGACTCCCCTGCTTCTCCGTGACATTAACTGGCATATTCCTCAGGTTGGCCCCATGGTGGGGGAGGAGTAAAAAAAAGTCAAGAAGGCAGCTGGAGACACGCTGTTGAAACTCCGCCCTTTCCTAAAAATTATAGCCAATTTTAAACCCCAATACAAATGCCCTTCTCTAATAACATTATCCAGGAGTGAACAATAATGTCCCAACCCATCTTCATCACTCTATATATCTAGCTTCCTGTTTCATATCCTTAAGACATATTGTTGCTGGGTATGACTGCCCATATCTCTTTGAAATTTTCTACCAAATTGCAACATTTATTGTGCTAAAACTGGAAAATTCTTGTTAATTATGAGGAAGTCGTAACGGGAACTCTATCGAATTAGTTATAAATACCTGCAAACTGTAATTCTGTATTTGTCCTGATGCTCCTTCCTCAACTTGGTTCTGACTCCATGTCAGACCTGCTGTCAACTCGTAAAGCATTCATGGCCTGCTCTTGAGTTGCCATAGGCAAGGGAGGGGAAAAACTGATGGAGAAGCTCGGTTGTTATGACCAGAAGCACATTCCATGCATACCTTTCTTCAGATTATATCCCAGGTTAGTAGAGGAAGCCAGAGAGGCATTTTTTCTACAACCCATGAAAGTGCTTCTTTGGAGAATGTGATTTATGACATACCTTGGGAAGAGGGGGGAAACAGGGTCATAGGTAGGCAGTAAATTACGTGGGGCAGAGCCAACTGCACTTGGGAAAATGCCAAAATGTTGCTCCTAATAAATAATTGGATTTCTTTTGAAACTTGGCTTGAGGCTCATGAATTAATTAGGGCATCCCTCGGAACCCTGACACCTGCCTTAACTTAGGTTTCTAAGTAAAAATGATCCTTAACACCATTGGGTTGAAAAGATATAATTTACTAGAAGCCAAGTGAAATACAGTGCAGGGGTATCAAACTGGCGGTCCACAGGCCAGATGTGTCATGTGCACGCCACACCCAGCCCAGCTCCACGAATGGGAAAAATGTCACCGGAACATCATGTGACAGTGACATGACACAGCAAGTTTGACATCCATGCAGTAATGCAAAGCCAGAACTGAAATTTGCACGCCAAGACCCCAAGTGAAAACTTGAGACTTCCCATTGCTGGTTCCCCGCTGTCCAATCAATTTTGAAGAAGATGTTTTGGAAATGGCTACTCTGATTGTAGGCTGGCTTGCAGCTGCATTCTTTTCATCGCACAGCGATCTTGAAACGCTATCTTGGGCAGGCACCTTCACTTTCTTAACTTTCACTTTCTCCCCAAGTGCTGCCCCTCCCTCTCACCCTCCTCCCAGGGTTCATGTCAGACTGGTACTGAAGCAACTGTAGAGAGTTAGGTGGGAGGGGGCAGTTCTGACACCCCAATCCATGATTTTAAGTGCACTTCTCAACACAGTAGTCAAAAGATTATATTTATTTTTGATTTGATTTGATTTGATTTGATTTGTCAATCACTTACAAGATAATAATAGGTATAAGCATAAACATGAGTAAGAATACAGGAAATAGGTACGAATAAATGGGAGACAATAGGATAGGGACGGTAGAAATGATTGTGCACTTATGCACACCTCTTACAGATCTCTTAGGATTGGGGTGAGGTCAATAATGGATAGTAAACCCACCCCCTTCCTAAGAGATCTGGAACATTGATGGAAAGGTTAAAGGAGTGGGGGTTTGAGGATATTATAACAGAGTCAGGTAGCGAGTTCCAGGCATTGACCACTCTGATTGCAGTCGTACTTTCTGCAATCAAGTTTGGAACAGTTTACACTTATCTGTGGTGTGCTCGTTGTTATTGTTGCGGTTGAAGCTGAAGTAGTCATTGATTGGTATGGTCCTTTATCTTGGTCTAATGAATTACGGATGTTGTTTCTAATTTGTTTTCCCATCAATGTTCCAGACAAATAAATGATCTGTATTTTTAACATTCCCCAGGTAATAGTCTATGTGGAAGACGTCAATGATGAACTACCACTATTTACCCAAAGACAATATAATCGGCTGGGTTTGCGAGAGACAGCTGGAATTGGGACATCGGTTGCTGTAGTCCGGGCCACAGATCGTGATACAGGTATAGTTATTCCATAGAAGGACAATATTGGCTGGCCAGTGCAATGCTGTTTGAATAGCCTTCTGTGTTAGTGATCCTGTCCTGATTTATCTTTGGAGGAAAAGCATTAGAGCTTTCTGTATGTATGAGCCATGTTAGGAGTCCCAAGTCTTTTTTTGTGATAAATTCCATACTCATTATTTTCTCTTATTTTAGACTTCTGCATGCCCAAATGAAACTTAGTTTGGAAGAGATCTACTTGAATTTTAGGCATATTAGAATAACACTTGGATGGGGCCTTTGAGGTCTTCTTGTCCATCCTCCTGTTCAAACAAGAAACTCTATTGGACCAATGGCCGTCCAATCACTTCTTAAAAGCCTCCAGTGATGGGGCACCCACAACATCTAAAAGCAAACTCTTCCACTGGTTAATTGTTCTCACTGTTAGGAAATTACTCCTTAATTCTAGGCTGCTTCTCTCCTTGATTAGTTCCATCCATTGCTTCTTGTCCTGCCTTCTGGTGCTTTGGGAAATAGACTGATGCCCTTTCTTTGTGGTATTCCCTCGAGTACTAGAACACTGCTATCATATCTCTCCTAGGCCTTCTTTTCACTAGACTAGATGTACCAGAATAGAATGGAATAGGAATAGGAATGGAATAGAATTGAGTAGAGTAGAGTACAGTACTGTAGAGTAGAGTAGAGTAAACAGGAATAGGAATAGAGAATAGAGAATAAAGAATAGAATACTAGAATAGAATAGAATAGAATAGAATAGAATAGAATAGAATAGTGAAATGAAGAAAAGGACAGGATAGAATAGAGAATAGAATACTAGAATAGAATAGAATAGAATAGAATAGAATAGAATAGAATAGAATAGAATAGAATAGAATAGAATAGAATAGAATAATGAAATGAAAAAAAAGGAAAGAACTGAATTGAATTGAATTCTTTACTGGCCAAGTGTGATTGGACACACAAGGAATTTGTCTTTGGTGCATAAGCTCTCAGTGTACATAAAGAAAAAATAAAATGCATTCATCAAGAATCATAAGATACAACACTTAGTGATAGTCATAGGTTACTAATAAGCAATGAAAACAGACTAGAATAGGGTAGACCTACCCAATTCCTGAAAAATTAACATCTTCCTAATGCTGCTTTCTAAAATGCTGTGTACAATGATGTTCATAATTAAATTTACATTTTCCCCATCATTTTGGGTACCCAAATACAATCTGAGTCCACATGCATACTTTGCATTCTGATTTAAATCTGCAAATGATGCGTTTTACTTCATTTATGTCAACTGACATAATTTGAAGCATGTGACCTCAGGGCACAGCTGACGTGGGATGATATAACAAGGGGAATTATGTAAATATAGAGAAGAAATGCCCTTCCTTAAACGGTCTATTAAATCAAGGTCTTAAAACACGGGTGTCAAACTCGCTGCCTCACGTTGCTGTCATATGACGTATTGTGATGGGTTTTTTTTCCCCTTTGCAGAGCTGGGATGGGCGTGGCCTGCATGTGACTCATTCGGCCTGTGGGCCACCAGTTTGACACCCCTGTTAATTTAAAATATTGCTAACAGAGAATAGCCGTGGGATAAATTTGTAAAAACAACTCTAGATTACCATCTTCTACTTAATTGTTAATTGCAATGTTGTATCTGAATGCCTATATGCAGGGTAGAGGTGCCAACTTCAAGTATGCCTCTGCTTCAGTACTTATCTTAAAAGGAATTAATTAAATTCCTTTTAACTAGGATACCAGCTCCTCTTCTTTTCCATAATTGGGCTGGTGAACATCTGCCCACAGGTACTAACTAGCAATACAGTTAATTTATTTATGGTCAAAGACCAACCTAATAATAATAAAAATCACATAACACCCAAATAAATTAATTCAATGTGAGCCAAACAATTAATAAAACAAATAAGGAATTGTGTTTAGTCCAGAGTAAATCAATAAATAAGCATTGCCACTGTTAAGCCCAAAGACTTCTTACAGCAATTAAAATTTACAGCCCAAATTTGGCAACCCTCCTAGAAGTTGCAGAAGCTGATCTACAGCAAGAAGAAAATGTTTGTCTATTCTGGCCGAATCAATGACTGATGAGTAGATGTGTTATGAATGCAGAATGCTCGGCTCGATACAGAGGGCAGCACAGCACAACAGGCAATAATATCATCTCAATTATCTAACCCAGCAAAAGGGATGAAATTGGGTTACCTTTTCCTTACAAAGTCGTGGTAAGTAGAACCTGCCACTGAGCACACTCTGATATGCAAGGTGGAAAGGATCTTAATAACATTGTAAAATGTAAAAGGCCTACCACGATGGCCACCATTAAAATAGCGTGGACTTTACTCCCAACAACTCCATTGGACGAGCTCAGAGAGTCGTCCTTTGTCTCTAAAATGTCTTTCTCAAGCATCACCAAGACCTCCAGGAGACCATATTTTAGATCTGCAGTTGAACCTGTCTTCCCACAGGAAACAAAACTATAAAACTCTCATTGGTATAAACTGAATATCACAAAACTAGATTAAAAGATTCTGTTAAAAAAATGTCCATTGTTAACCTGAATTCTACCTTTAAATGTTGTTGTTGTTTGTTTCCGCTGCTTCAAATGGCAGCCAATAATATCCCAGTTTTCTCTCCTGATTTCCAATATATCCTGGTTAATAATTTAAACAAGCGGTCAGATTACATTCAGTGTGGAAGCCTCGATTTCAGCTTTGTTGCTTTACCTAGCACTTACAGCAATAGCACGTATATATCTGACTCAGCCTTCCATCCCTCCAAGGTCAGTAAAATGAGGACCTAGATTGTTTGGGGCAATATCCTTATTCTGTAAACTGCTTAGAGAGGTCTTTAAAGTACTGTGAAGGCTTCACAGTCTGGGTCCTCGTTTTACTGATCTGTGAAGGATGGAAGGCTGAGCCGGTCAGAATCGAACTGCCAAACGGCTAGCAGTGGGCAGTCAGCAGAAGTAGCCTGCAGTACTGCATTCTAACCACCATGGCTCCTGGAATAAATTAATCCACAGGGACATACAGCTAAAACGAGTCCTTAACCACCTGTTCCAATTGCATAAAATCAGAGCTTCTATGTCTCTTTTTTTGCTGAGGCAAAAGCAATAACGCAAGATTCCCCAATGGGTGCCTTAAAGAAAGAAAAAAAACGTTAATTCAAGTGTTAATTGAAATGTTAATTTCAATTCAATCTTTCTTCCTCTTAATCAGGAGTGCATGTTGTTGGTTATATATAGTACATTTTAACAACTCTTATCTATAAAAATAACAAAGTCCATAAAAATATAATTAAATAATATAAAATAACAAGGGGGAACTTTCCCCTTCATTGCATTAATCCTGTATATTTCTTCTTTTTGGATTTCGTCATTCTAACTAGTAGAATTATTTTTTTTAACAAACAGTAGAAACTGAATTTCGGGACACGTGCGGGTGAGTTAGCTAAGATTAATACGTGCAACTCCAAGCAACTGTACTTTTGGATTTGGAATTGCAGAAAGAAGGAGAATGGCCCCATAATGTGGGAAACAAAAAGAAGGAAGTAACTGAAAAGGAAGGAAAGGCAGAGAAGTGCATCTGGAACCCCGTATTTGCCGAGAATTAAAATCCCAACATGATATAACAATGCTTGCTTCCTTTTGGGGAGGTGGGGAATCTCATAGAACATATAAAATAACAGAGTCAGAAGGGACCTTGAAGATCTTCTAGTCTAACCCCCCCCCCCCCGCTCAAGCAGGAGACCCTATACCATTTCATACAAATGGTTGTTCAGTCTCTTCTTAAAAGCCCCCAGTCATGGAGCACCCACAACTTCTGAAGGCAAGCTATACCGTTGGATGATTCCTTTCACCATTAGGAATTTCCTCCTTCGTTCTAGGTCTCGCTGCTCTCCTTGATTAGTTTCTATCCATTATTCCTTGCCTTATCCTTCTTTTCTTTTTTTCCTAAATGCAAACATCTGATCAGGGATGCAAGCGGAAGGCAAGGCGTTCGAACAGAACTTCAAATTACAAGTACTTAGAGTGTAGCGCCAACCTAATTCTGAGGGCCTGTAAGAGAATTTGGGTGATGAGATTTGAGCTCTGCGCTAAGAGTCAGAACCTACTAAGTGAGCCTTCAAAAATCTCAGTCTTCCTCCAACATCGGGTAACTTGAGAACGGATCCGTGAGTGGAAGTCAGTCAAAAATACTAGAGTTGTGCCCTAAACTGTGAGCAATCCCATTGAGTGGAGCAATCACTGATCATCTCAAACCATTGGTTTCGTGAGAATAAAACAGTTTGGTAGGCAGGTACAAAAGACTGGTAAAGAGTGACAGACCGCAGGAAGAACATAACAAATCATGTGGCAACACTCCCTTGTTTATAAAAAACTAAAAGGTTTGAGAACTTTGGAGGAATTTTGAATAGAAGGTGGAGTATCTTCATTGGGGTTTTCAAACACTCCTTTGGGGATCCTATAAAGGTAAAGGCACAAACATGCTAGTTGTTTCTGGCTTTAGGGGGCAGTGCTCATCTCTGTTACAAAGCTGAAGAGCCAGTGCTGTCCAAAGATGTCTCTGTGGTCATGTGGCCGGCAGGACTAAACGTTGAAGGTGCACGGAACGCTTGTTACCTTCCTACCCAAGGGATCCCTGTTTTTCTACTTGCATTTTTACATGCTTTCAAACTGCTAGGTTGGCAGAAGCTGGGATAAGTAACAGGAGCTCACTCCATTATGCGGTGCTAGGGATTCGAACCACCGAACTGCCAGCCTTTCTGATCGACAAGCTCAGTGTCTTAGCCACTGAGCCACTGCATCCCTTTGGGGCCCTGTACCATGGCTTATATTACAACCAATTACCCACCTTCTAATCATTCTTTTTCCTCTCCCTCTCTAGGAAATGGCGGTCTAGTGAATTACAAAATCATCTCAGGATCTGAGGGCAAGTTTGAAATTGACGAGAGCACCGGCCTCATTACCACCATTGACTACCTGGACTATGAGACGAAAACGAGCTACCTAATGAATGTTTCTGCCACCGATCAAGCCCCGCCCCAAAACCAAGGATTCTGCAGCATTTATGTCAGTCTCCTTAACGAATTAGATGAGGCTGTGCAGTTCTCAAACATCACGTACGAAGCAGTCATCACAGAGAATATCCCCTTGGGTTCTGAAGTGCTACGAGTCCAGGCCCGGTCCATTGACAACCTTAACCAGATCACGTACAAGTTTGACCCAAATACTAATCCTCAAGCTTTGTCTTTATTCAAAATAAATGGAATCACTGTAAGTAATTTACTGGGAGATTTCTGTTATCTGTGAACATCCCTGGATATCGGTGGCCTGTATGTATTTATTTATTTCTGTCAGGGTGTGATTACAGTCAGAGGACAAGTGGATCGAGAGAAAGGAGACGTTTACACCTTAACTGTAGTGGCGGATGATGGAAGCCCTAAACTTGACTCGACTGTGGTGAGTTGATTTTGTGTGTGTTCCTTTGTCTTTGTATGCTTAGCTAAAATTTCAACCTATTATTGTGAGGTTGTTCATCCTCCAGAAATGGAAGGTTTTGTAGTTTTCTCTGGAGATGGGAATAGAGTAAAAAAAAAAAATTGACGATTGTTTTTGGGGGATGTTCCTTAGTATATGGAAGATGACAGGAAGTTTTCTTTTCCTTTTTCTTTCCATTTTAAAGCCTTCACCACACTGTAGCAAGGTTCTTTGTGGTTGTGTTCTTGTCTTTAGAATCACACTATGTTATGACAGATGTGTGGATTGTGAAGCTAAAACTAGAAAGTTACTTAAAAATTCGAATTGTTAACTATTTTACTACTTCCTTAAGACCAACGGATAATTGAATTGTTTTCTACAAAGTACTGAGTGCTTTATTTTCTTAATCATCCACATTTTACACTGAATTAACTTACTGTAGATTTTTTTTTACTTTTACTGTAGATTCTTTTACTTTACTCTGAATGTGAAGTGATGTGATTTTTAAATGAAATTATTCTTCACTTAAAACATTTTAAAATTATTTTAAAAGTAATTTGTGTTTAGTCCAGATAATGTCCCAGGAGATTTTTGCTCACATGTTTTATTATCCTTTCCTACAGATGTCTTACTCACAGGATTTTTAGAACTCAAGAAGGTTTAAGAAACCACACACTCAAAACACATGACACTAAAATTATCTCAGAATCCTCTCACAAAAAAACACAGGATGGGCGATTTCTGTTTTAATCTCCCTCTTGTTTTTCTTTTTTCTCCTTTTGTACTACTCTTGACTCAAAATGCAAGCATGTGCTACATGCTAAGCTCAAATGCTGAGGTGGAGGTGCAGGAGGGGAATACATGCAAGAATGGTACAATGGGAAGATGTAGTTTAAGGCCCAAGGGCAGTTTCCCATTTTGGACAGATAATACTGGAGAAATAAAGGTTATTATCTATAACACATCAGCATGCATTACACAGAATGCTAAATGGAATTTGGGTAAGAAATGGATGAATAAACGACCAAGGAGACCACAGCTATTAGATGATTAAGGAGAGACTGATAAAGCAAAAACAAAGAAATTATTATTTTTTTACATTGTTCGTTGAATCTGTATCTCTGACCCATAATATTTTTTCCAAAACCCTGAATTTATGTATCCTATTTAAAGGATAGAAATCTAATCCCTCTTTATTTCTTTTTCTTCTCTGTGTCCACTTCTGGGCTTCCATCCAATAGAAGGTAGGAATGTTTATTAAGTTTATTATAGCATGCTGACTGGGGAATGCAAATTAAAATCTACACATTTTAAAGCTGCCAAGGTGGAGCAACATTGATCTAGGGCTATTCCTAGAAAAAAAGTGAAAGTAAGTGGCCAATGGATTGCCTAAGACAGGGGTGTCAAACTCAAGGCCCAGGCGCCGGTTATGCCCTGCAGGGTGCTTAAATCTGGCCCATGAAGCTGCCCTGGAAATAGCAAAGGACCAGCTCGCAGTGCCTCAACCCAGCCCAGGCCAAATGGTTGCTTATCTAAACCTGGTGGTGGCCTTTTTCATTGGCGGAGTGCTGCAGGAGGCCATTGCAGCCGAAAACAGAGCACGCGCCCCTCCCAAGCTCCGTTTTTGCTTGCAGAATGCTAGCAAAGCAAACTTGATTGTCCTCCACTGCTGAGGCCTCTGGGCAGCCTGCGTGGCCATCCAGGGGTTCCGTGCTTGGCCTGAGAGGGACAGGGAGGTTCCTCTAGAGGACAAAGGTTTGGTGTTCTCCCTGGTCTCACGTTCCTCCGCTGGAGACACTGGATCTCCCCGGTGGTGGGATTCAAAAATTTTTTTTACTACCAGTTCTGTGGGTGTGGCTTGGTGGGCGTGGCAGGGGAAGGATACTGTAAAATCTCCAGCCACAGGTAGTATTTGCCAGTTCTCTGAACCACTCAAAATTTCCATTACTGGTTCTCCAGAACTGGTCAGAACCTGGTCAGAACCACCTCTGGATCTCTCCCAGCCCCACCTGGACCATCACAAGCGCCCCTGACATGAGTGATGTCAAGCTGGCCACACCCACCCTGGCCACACCCACCCAGCCCCCCAAGGTCAAACACAACCTTGATTCAACCCTCAATGAAATCAAGATTGGCACCCCTGTTATGTGTTGTCCAAGAGACTCCTGCTTATACTAATTTCACATTCATTCAGTTTTGAAGGCCACCAAATTGCCAAGCAACCCTGGCCAGTTGAAATAATTTTTTTAAAAATCAATCTATAAAGACTAAAGAATCAGGATAATAAAACTACCATGCCTTGGGAAGACAGACGCCCTGAACATAACTTTCTAATGAGTACCTATATAAGTACCTCTTAGAGCAACGATTATGAGGAGAGTCAGGTCTTTAAGACCCTCTTCAAGGATAGCTACACCAGGACCATATGGACCATGCGGTATGGGAGCTTCAGAGGTGGTATTCAGCCAGTTCAGACCGGTTCTGGCATACCAGTAAGCAGAAATTTTGAGTAGTTCAGAAAACCAGCCAATACCACCTCTGGCTGGCCCCGCCCACCCGCAGCCACCATTGTGTATCCTATATTCCTTGATTTTTAGCTCAGCTGATTCACAGGGCAGAGCAGATTGCCGCACCTCAACTGAGCTAAAAAAAAAAAAACAGCTCACCTCACCAGCGCTGATACAGAGGGCGGTTTTTGAGTGCTGCGCACACGCACATAGAACCGGCAGGAAAACATTTGAAACCCCACCACTGGGGAGCTTCTGCTTCAAAAGACAAGGGCCATGACAGAAAAAGCATGCCTTCTTCTGGAAGCTAAAAGATGTCATTGTTTTATTGATGGGGCCTGGAATAATTTTTTTTTTCTCTGATCTTATAATACGGAGAGGAATACGGGTAGTCCTCGTCTTACAACCATACCATTCGAAGTTACAATGGTACTGAAAAATGTGACTTGTGATCATTTTCCACACTTGACAACCGTTGCAAAATCCCCATGGTCGCGTGATCAAAATTTGGACATTGGCAACTGGCATGTATTTATGATGCTTGCAGTGTCCCGGGGCCGTTTGATTACGTTTTGTGACTTTCTGACAAGCAAAGGCAATGGTGAAGTGAGATTCCCTTAACCACCAACTTAACAACTGTAGCGATTGACAACGGTGGCAAGAAAGATTGCAAAATGCTGAAAAAGCTCCCTTAACAACTGCCTTGTTTAGCAGTGGAAATTTTTTGGGCTCAGTTGTGGTCAAAAGTCAGGCCTACCTGTAATTAAAGGGAAGAAATTCCACTAACATTGAGGCCCTGCTCATGAAGGGGTTTGTAGAGGACCATTGAAACACTGAATTGCCCCTGGAAGAATAGAAAGTCAAACTCTTGAGGGTAGATCACTGCCAACTTTGATATGAACATGGTTTGCATTGAGATACTAGTTTTAGCAAGGAGAGAAAAGGGTTTCTCACAATCACATCCCATGAAAGAAAGATAAATGTATCCTGAGCTTGTCTTCAGAAACCAGCCATCTTGGATAATGTTGTCTTTGAAACCTTTAGCCAAATAAAGTTTCACAAATAGACCCATGTTCTTCTCCTTTGAGCAGAGTATATTTACAAGCTCAGTTATTTTTAGACCTGACAGCATTTCCTTAACTACTGGCCAAAAACAAGCTCAGATTGATTCTTAAGGCATATTTGCGGCTGCAATATATCCCTAACAGCCTAACACTTTAGTGCAGTTATGAAGACATGGTTCACACTGTACAGTAAAAATATTTAGTGTGGCTTTGAGAGTTGATGAAGTCATTATTTCTTTGACTTTCCAAGCATTACTGAATTAGTTTATATGATGGCACCAATGAAACAGGGTATGTTTCCTCCCTATTAAACAGGATGTTTATCCATTTGTCTGGTCATTAGCGGGATCCTTACATTAGCATTACCTGCAAACAGCCAGTTTGCTATACTGCCCACCCTTGAAATAAAACCTCGCTAAAGCTAGAGTGAGTCCCCCAAGTTAATCAAATATTAGATTTGGTTATTATTATTTTATCAGTCTGAAAAAAATGGTCTTTCAGATAGGTGCTCGCTCCTTTGATGTAAACGATTACCTTCAAAGCATAATAATTTTGCTGGGAAAGCTGTGTGAAAAGGACATGAAAAAAAGTTTGATTGTTACAAAATGGTGGAAATTTAGGAGACCTGTTTGTAGATTTCAGGGCCAACTTCAGTTCTACTGTGGTGTATAGGAGCTGGCTTTGAAAAGTCCATTGTTTGCTTGCCCTCATTTATTTCTCTGTAACGTGAGCTTGTCTCCTGCCTACCAAAAGTATTATTCATGCTCACCTTCACTTGGCAGGTTACCATAACCATATTGGATGAGAATGACAACAGCCCACAGTTCGACATTACTTCGGACTCTTCTGTGAGTATCTCGGAGGACAGCCCTGTCGGACGTCGAATTGCTCTGGTTTTGGCCAGAGATCCCGATGCAGGAAACAATGGACAGGTAGGCTGTGACTACATCACTTCACAGATCAAGAAGTAAAATGAAAGAATATAAAGCTGACTTATTTGATCAAGGTTAAAATAAATACACTATGTAGTTATCTCTGGTAAACCTTAATGGACTTTTGCTGATATCAGGACTGAAATGATGAGCTTTTATGAGTTTCTTTAAAGAAAAGGGATTGGTACGGGAAAAGTAAACCATTTCTTGTATTTTAGAAAGTGATAAATTACTGAAATTCTTATATTTGTGATGAATGGGGAATTCATTTGTACATAAATTTCTTTTCTTTTTCTTTATTTTTAGTTTTTTATTTCTTTCCTATTTTTCTTTTTTTTTCTCTTTGTTTTTCTTTTCTGTACATTTTCTTTTTATTCTGTTATTTTTTACTTTGTATTAATTTTTATTGTTGTGAATTATACCTTTTCACCAAATTACCGTAAAAAAACAAGTGAAGAACTGGCTGCAAATATTAAGTTCTCCTTTAAGCTGCACTCTATATGAATTCAATAACCTTGGACTTCTCAGCTCCGACAAACTTCATACAAAGTGCAGCTTAAAGAAGAACTTAATATTTGCAGCCAATTCAGAGATTTCTCCTGAGACCACATGAAACGCAAAAGGTCACAGACGAATATACTCGCTCCCATGGGCCCCACATTATTGGCATTATTGGAGGATAAATTTTGTCCTGGATTTCTAATCCTCCCCTAAAATGAGAGCTTTCTTTTTGCTGGCTTAATTGAAGTCTTCATCAACACTGCTCCTTCAGTTCCTCTGTTCTTCTTTTGAGGAGACTGTGTAGAAGTTGGTGCTGGCAAAAACAGCACTAAATATTTTTAGAGCTCACAGTGCTCAACAACAGCACTGAATGAGTCATACCCCATCTCATAAATTAGAATACCATGTGTTCTTCCCTTTGGCTCAGTGTAACTTCTTAGTCTTAGAAAGTAAGATTGGCTGCATGTCACTTAAGGCGATGGGTAAGCCAGGTGGCTGTGAAATAACATGGGAAAAAACAGCATCGCAAACCATTTCCTGTGGTGCCCAGAAGCTGCTCAACAGCTGACTTAGGACAATGGGCTTGAAAAGGCTGCAAAGAAAACCTCAAATGAAAACTTTTTTGGTCGCCATTTCATCACACTAAAAGGAACTCTTTTCAATAATAAACAGGAAGCGCTTTGCATTTAAGGTGTGGCACATTTCTTTCTTTTAATTTGTTACCTGAGGTAGCTCTGAACACCCAGGAGTTTCATTCTTAATGGGTAACATCTGCTTTCATGCACTTCATTTTGAATTTAAGAAAATATCTACTGGTGATATTCACTCCAAAGACAAAGATAGCATTCACAAGCTCACTTGTTACCTCTTTAGATCATGGGTGTCCAACCTTGGCAACTTTAAGACTGGTGGACTTCAATTTCCAGAGTTCCTCAGCCAGCTTGTTGGCTGAGGAACTCTGGGAGTTGAAGTCCACCAGTCTTAAAGTTGCCACGGTTGGAGACCTCTGCTTTAGATCATTTACATATCGGTTTTGCTTCACTAGCAAATATTCACTATTCAAATATTTTATATTCACTGAGTCCAACTCCTGGATTTAATTTAGCTTCCTCTGCAGTTAAGTATCCAACATTGTTTTTCCTTTTTAACTATACAATATTGTTTTACATAACCACTCTTCATTTTTAATTGTGTACATATGATTATTTTTTTAAATCAATCAAGAAATATACATTTGCACATCCAATAATTCCAGGAGAAACCGCTTTGTCTAAGAGTTAAGAAGTATAATTGAGGACAGAATTTGGCTTGCTACCCCATACAAGAAAAAAACCCACCAATGATAAATAAATAAAGTATATCCTTTGTTACCTTCTATCGAATGGACTGAGTCTCTTTACTTCCTCTCTTCTTCCACCCTTTCACCAGATTTTTTATTATTATTTTTATGCAGGTTGTTTTTTCTCTAGTATTGGGAAATATAGGCAGGGCTTTTGAAATTCGTACGACCAACAGCACCTATGGAGAAGTATTTGTGGCAAGGCCTTTGGACCGGGAACTAATAGAACGCTACACCTTACAGGTAACAGGGAGTGATGGTTGTTCAAGTTTTAAATTGTGCAGTATAGATAGTCCTCCACCTATAACCATCATGGAGCTTACCCAACACGGTTTTAAGTGGTGACGATCATATAAAGTGTGTCACCCATTTGACCAACCTGATTTTAATCACCTTTTTTTGTGGCGGCCATTAAACAAATGTGGCAACTGTAAAGCAAACGTTGTTAAGTGAGCCTATCGTTTGCTAGGGGCCAGTTTTGCTGAAAACTAGATGCAAGTTATTGACAAAAAAAATATCATAAGAAGTAGTCACATGACCACAAGTTACTGAAAATGGTTGGCCTGTTGCCAAGTACCTGAAATGGAGTCATGTGACTACAAGGGGGTGCATGGCCATCAGAACCAGGTTGTAGATTCCCCTGGGGAGGTCTGTCGTAACTTCAAACAGTTGCTAAGTGACTGGTTATAAGTCAAGGACTACCTGTAATGCCTTTTGTGGTGTTCATGTAAGTAATTGGGCCTCAGTGCAGTAAGCCAGCCCTCTCACTGTTCTTCAGACCCTCTGTAATCCCAAATGTGCCATCTATGTATAACTGCATTATTTTAGTTGTTGAATATTTCATCTTGCAACTTGAGCTACAATGTGGAATTCGCCTTTCATGATGGAGTTATGTATTATTATTATTTTTTGTAACTCAGCATTCAGCAGAAATTCTAGAGGCCCTGAGTGTTACAACTGGTATCAAACTTCTATTCCAAAGTAGAATTACAATTTGTAGAAGGAAAAAAAAATGGATCTGTAGTCTAATGGACTTGTGGTTCCTGCTCAAGGAGCCGGTACCGATGTGGCCAGGAACAGCTTTGCACGGATATATCTTTTGGGCCAGTTGTACCTATTTCTAGTTTGGAAAGTGATATATATGGTTGCTCATGCCTTAGTTACTTCCTGATTGGACTGTTGCAAAGATCTAAGTAGGAGGCTGCCCTTGAAGAGTATTCAGAAGCTTCACTTGATCTAGAATGTTAGGTGACCTACACTGATTCCCAATGGATCTCAATCCCAATGGATCTACTGCAGGGGTGTCAAACGCGATTTCATTAAGAGCTGCATCAGGGTTATGTTTGACCTTGGGAGGCCAGCGTGGTGGGTGTGGCCAATTCGACGTCACTCATGTCAGGAGCGCCTGTGGCGGCCCAAGTGCTTTGCCAGCAAAAACAGGCTCCCAAGCTCCATTTTCGGCTGTGATGACTTCCTGCAATCCTCTGCCAATGAAAACAGGGCTCAGGAAGCTGGTGCATGGCTCCAGAGCTCCATTTTCCCTGGCAGAGACACCACAGGCCAGTCCTTCACTGTTTTCAGGGTGGCCCCATGGGCCAGATCTAAACAACCTGCACCCAGGCCTTGAGTTTGACACCCCTGATCTACTGGTTCACCTTTAATACATTACATGGCACAAAACCAAGTTACCTGCGGGATCATCTATCCCAGTGTCACCTGGAAGAATTTAGGCATGTCATGACAAATGCTTTATGGCAGGGTTCCCCAACTCCCAGCTCATTTGGAACTGGGCCACGGAAGTGGCATGTAAACATGCAGGCGCAGCTCCATTTGTGCGATCAGTGTGCACAATCGGTGTGCACATGGATGCCGATTGCGTAAATAGAACTGCATGTGCACGCAACCTTGCCCACTGCTTGTGTGGAACCATCGTCTCTCCTCCTCCTCTGCCAGTCCGCAAAGCTGCAAAGTTTAGGGACCGCTGTTTTATGGAACAGTCTCTCTTCAGAGATTTGGATGATCTTTCATTCACCATTTTTATCTTTTTGTGATGACCCAAAGGGGCGTGGCACAAAAGCAACACAGTCACATGAGTAAGAAAAGTCTCTTTAATACCTCCAACTTTGCCCCCAATGTCCAGTTATCATCGGCTGGAGAAAAAACTCTCCCAAGAACAGTCTTTAAGTAGAAGAAATTCAGTCTGAAAACAAAGTACATATAAACTGTAAATAAAAATCCGCACAAACCATGCTGCAGCAATTAACTGGACAGGGCAGGGTAAGGAATTGCAGGCTTCAAAGGCCAACAAAACACACACAGTTGGGAGGATGCCAGGAACCCAGATAAGCCTTGACAATAAAAGATAACTCACGATGTACTTCTAACCAATTGCTGTGCGCAACCTCCCTTTTTAAACACTGTTCCCAGCTGCAGATAATGAAGGTAATCAGGGCCCTTTCCTCCCCCATAAGCCATGCAACTCACATTGTTCCCTTCTCCGTTCCTCCCTGAATGCCTAGGATGAAGAGGGGGTGGGCCTGGATCTTCCTCTGAATTCCCTCTGCCTTGCTCTACCTCTCCCCTGCTCTGCCCAGTTGGACTTTGCCCTTCCCCAGTTTCTTCCACAGCCAACAGAACCACACTCCCACTCCCTGTCAGCTGCTCAGCCTTCCCCTCGGAATCAGATTCCGACAGGAGCATGACACTTTTGCTCACCGTTGATTAACCATTGGTGGCTATGTAAATAAATAAACTTCGGACCCTGAATAAAACAGAATTTATTAAAAAACTAACAAGAGACACAAATACATTTCTTTTTTTTTTTCTGAAGAGACTGAGGTGTTAGATCCTGGCACTAATCCAAGTACTGCTACATAATGAATGTGAGAAGAGGGAGTAATGAGCTGGAATATATGCAGTGAAGAAAGGAGAAAGGCAACCGAGGAGGGGGTTCCGGTCCTTAGTCCAAGGTGAACTGAGAAGGAGAAGTTATAGTTGTCCAAAAGTTCCTTTCAGTACAAAAGCAGTTGGACGAATCAAGTGATCTGAAGCCATTGTGGGCTCTCTGTTGGGCAGGAAGATAGAAAATGTGGCACACAATTGGAAGCTTCGAAAATGCATTTATGGGGTCAGCAATCGGAACAATTTTTAGGCAGGAGCTTTGTGCTAAAATCCTTCTGATGATATGAGAGAATTAGTCCATTTCCTTGGAGGCATTTTTTTTGTCACTATCTTCCTTTTCTTCCACTTCTGTTATATCCTGCATGAAATACTGTCCAAAACTGTTTAGTAATATTCTAAGAATGATCATGAAGCTGTTTGATACGTGCATGCTATTTTCAATTGTTTTCTTAACAATATTCAGCAAAGTTTTCTATCTATCAATCTACCCATCCATCATCCATCTATCATCTATTATCTTCTAGATATCTTCTAGCTAGCTATCTTCTAATTATCTTCTATCTACTAGATATTTCCTATCTTTCTATTCACCTAGCTAGCTATCTTCTATCTATCTTTTATCTACTATCGATAATCAATTCTATAATCTTCTAGCTAGTTAGTTATCATCTATCTTCTATCTATGAGTGAAACACTCGCTTGTTTCAGTAAAGGAAATATTTCTGCTCCTGTGTCTAGATATCTAGATATAGATCTTTTTTAGATATGTACAAATATCTACCCTTGTCCTCGTTTACTAGCTTTGCCCAACTTAATAGCATGACCAAATCCGTGATGCTTCACCTATGTTCTACTGAGTCTCATCTTCCTTTCAGATTCAAGCAGCAGACCGAGGTGTCCCAGCTCGCAGGAAAGAGCACACTTTAAGGGTCAATATCCTGGATGTGAATGATAATTCTCCAGTCATTATCAACCAACATGGATACAATGTTAGCATTAACGAGGTAAGAAGGTTTTTATAGGTACGTTCATGGCCGTGTCCCCAATGAAACTTGTTCATACAAAAGAAGGAACTGGGCCTAACTTCAGTGCAACTCTTTTTTTTTTTGCTTATTTGTACAGTGTGTAAGCATTTGAGAATCTTAATGAAAAATATTCTTTCTTAAAGACATTGTCGGCAACAGCATCCTAGAAAAGACAGTTGAATACAATGCCAATTAAATAAAAGCAAAACAAGGGTTATCAACATTTGGTGCACCAATTTTCATAATTTATCTCTGATTTGAAGATAGCATACAAGGAGAGCTGGATGGATAGAAATCAAAGCTCTAAAGACTGAGTCACTGAACCTAGAAGTTTCAATGCTAAAGAGCCCTTGGTATCCTAAACTTGAAGTAAAGCTCGCTATTGCAGGCTTTCTTTGTGCCCAGAATAAAAATTCACGACATATCGAGGAAAGATCTCTGAAGAATTCGGAGAAAAGCAAAAAGGAGTTAAAATTTCCAAATGTTTTATTCCCTTAGAACAGATGTCTCCAAACTTGGCAACTTTAAGACTTGTGGGCGTCAACTCCCAGAATTCCCCAGGAAGTTGGCTGGCTGGGGAATCCTGGGATTTGAAGTCCACAAAGTTGCCAAGTTTGGAAACACCTGCCTTAGAAGAAACCTTTATTCAAAGCCCAAAATGCTGCAGATTACTTTTTTTTCTCTCTCTCAATTTCTCTACAGCCCTGAGGATTGACCTCTCTGCTTCCTTTTTGAGTAGCCATTTTTGCTTTTCAAATGTTTAAGGATTTCTTTCTGGTTATTTTTGCATTGACTTCTTCTAGTATAATGCTGTTCTAAGCAAAGCTGTTAGTACTGTTTCTGTAGCTCCATCATATGTTAGTATGATGACCTAGCAAAGTTTAATTTTTCTTAGATACTTGCTATCCCTTCGCATATTTGTGATAATGTCCTAAGAAACGTTCCCATTCAAGACCCATTTAAAGAAATAAGATTTGTCTACTGTAAGAACAGCCCTGTTCTTGATATAATCCCTTTTCTACTCCCTGGAAAATGTGCATAAAAGATTTGGGAAATGTCGCTGTTTGGAATGAACCAGACAAATGTAATTTAGTCTAATTATAGCTTGTAAGGATACACCTTTGCAGCAAATGTGGTCTGTAACAGAGACATATCAACAGGAAGTGTATCATAAAGCAATAAAACATGAGGAAAAAGACAGATTCCAATTACTGGATTAGACTGTCTTTAAATACATATCCAAAAGAGAAATGCATCCAGACCATATTATCTGAAAGCATCAGAAGGGAACATTCACTCCGTAAGCACTTTGAGGAAATCCCATACTCTCATCAATGTTCTGACCCAGGCTTCATCAAACGTAATAAAACACCAACTGAATTTAAAAATAAAACCTTTTTTAATGCGACACTGGGAATTACTTGCATTCCCAGCCAAAACTCATTAGACATAGTTCCTCCAGATAAGAGCATGCTTTTCAGTGCTGCAGAAGGCTGCTAAAAAACAGAAGTCCAATTAAGGCTAACATCAACCAACCCAAAAACCTAGAAAAAAACCTAACCAGTGTACAGAGCTTCACGAAGGACTCGGAGAATTACTGAATTGCTTTGCTTCCTGCAAAGCTCTTCGTCATTGAGGTCTGACTTTTATCCCTTATGGGAGGGGCAATCACTTCCCAGCCTTACTCCCGAGTCGCCCCTTCTGCTTCAGCTGCTCTCACCGTCTAGCAGCTCTGCGCACATGCTCACTGGGAACAGGCTCCCCTGGGTCCTCTTCCTCGCTGCTGCCAGACTCCAAAGACAGCACCCCACTCCCAGATGGTCCTGGCCCCATCCCTGCATCGGATGCAGGATCCTCGTCCAAGTCCTCTCCAGACTCCCTGACTGGTCCTCTTTCATCCTCACTGTCCAATACCTCTGCCATCTGCACCTGCTGCCGGCAAACCACAACAATCAACTCTATTCAGATGGATAAATCAGGATGCTAAGCCACATGACTACTAATACACCTATAGGCTTTTTCCTGCAGATAGTAACCCTGAATGTGCCAGTGTTTTCAGGAGCTGATGATACTTGAGCCACATCAGCTGGAATTGGCGTTTATTCAGGGTGCTTCAAGGTATACATACTAGCTTGTAGAACACCTGGCCTGAGCAGTGCCCTGTTGGATCGGACTTTTAATTCATCTGGTCCAACACTCTGTTCTCACATTGGCTAAGCAACCATAGGGGGCCTTCAGAGGTAGACAAACTGCCAATATAGCTAGCACTGCTGAATTCCATAAACGGATCCGGTCCTGATTTTGAAGCAACCCAGAGGAGAGTCAGCACAACCTCTGTTATAAATATATAGGTTGAGATTACCTGAATAATCCAGTATGCGTGCTTGCATGACATTTTGACTGGCTTTGCTCTTGACCTGTGAAAGAAGCTGCTGACATTGGCTTGCTTTGGGAATGAAAAGCTGTTTCTGTTGGAGTTCTTTTCCCATGGCCCATGGTCCCTTCTTTTTACCTGGCCTTGTGATCAAGAGCTCCAGCTTTGGTGAAGTATTCAATTAATCATCTTGAATGGTTTAGGGTTCCCATAAAAAAAATAGCCAGTCCGCCAAGAGAAGAAGCTGGATTATTGTACGAGAGTATATACAGAGATAGTCCTTGACTTACAAGCACAGTTGGAACCAGGCTTTCTGTTGCTAAGCAGGACGGTGGTTAAGTGAGCGATGCTCAATTCTATAAGCTCTTTCCCATGACCCTTAAGCAAATCTCTGCTGTTTTTAAGTGAATCATGTCATTAAGCAAATCATGCTTCATCCATTAACACTGCGTATCAGAAGCTGGCTGGGAAAGTTGAAATGGAGGTCATATGTCCCTACAGGATACTGCAAGTTGCAAAATACTTGAATTTTGATCACATGACAATGGGGATATTGCAACAGTGCAAAGATTGGTCGTAAATAACTTTTTTCCAGTGCTTTTGTGACTTTGAACAGTCACTAAGAATAGAATAGAATAGAATAGAATAGAATAGAATAGAATAGAATAGAATAGAATAGAATAGAATAGAATAGAATAGAATAGAATAGAATAGAATAGAATTCCTTATTGGCCAAGTGTGCTTGGATACACAAGGAATTTGTCTTCAGTGCGAATGCTCTCAGCGTACATAAAAGAAAAGATACATTCGTCAAGAATCATAAGGTACAACACTTAATAATAGTCATAGGGTACAACAAGAAAATCAAATCATACTAGGAAATGAATGGTTGTAAATTGAAGACTACCTCTGTTAGCCTTTATCAAATCTGTCAGATTCTGTCAAAAGACCAGATTCACATATGAATCAATTAAACTGATTTATTGGTCCATGCACCAGAGTCTTCTTTGCTAACGGCCAGCTCCTGCTGAGAGTTAGGGAGGGTTGGACTTAATTTGTTTGTGACTAAGTAGGGACTTCCTCAGGCTGAGGAATTCTGGGAGTTGAAGTCCACAAATCTTAAAATTGCCAAGTTTGGGGGGGGCTCCTTCTCGAGCATACCTCTTTTCACCCTATCCCCAGGTTCTGCCATTCCTTCTCCCACCAATCCTAGGTTTCGATGTAGCATTATTTCTTCTGTGGCCTAATTTTCTTTCTTCCAACCCCTCTGTCCAACATTTGCACAGAACGTGGGTGGAGGGACGGCTGTGGCTCAGGTACGAGCCACCGACAGAGACAGTGGCCTCAACAGTGCCCTCTCCTACTACATCGTCCATGGCAATGAAGAGCTGACCTTCCGCATGGATAGAGTGACTGGAGAAATCGCCACCCGCCCGTCCCCTCCAGACCGTGAGCGACAACAGTTCTATCGGCTGGTGGTCACTGTGGAGGATGAAGGCAACCCAGCCCTCTCGGTAAGCAGTGCTTATATGAAATTTAGGGATTGGCAGTACAGTTGGGAACTATTGAAAGCGGTAGTGACTGGGTCATGAAAAAGTGTCTATTACTCAGTCAAATCTACTACTGGAACTGGAAACTTATTTAGAAAATGCTAGGTTAATATCTTTAATCCATACTTAAGCTTGAGAGCCTCTGTGTTACTTCTTATACCTTCTTATAAGCTTAGGAATTTGCATCTTCTTTATAAAAACTGCATTGCTTGCATAAAACTTGTGGTTGCCTGCTGAATCTTAAAGATAATGTCATGCCCCTTTCGGAGTCTGAATGCGAGGAGGAAGCTGGACAACTGACAGGGAGTGGGAGTGTGGCTCCATTGGCTGTGGAGGAGACTGGGGAAGGGCAAAGTCCGGCTGGGCAGAGCAGGAGAGAGATAGAACAAGGGAGAGGGAGTTCAGAGGAAGACCCAGGCCCACCCCCCTCTTCATTCTAGGGCATGCAGGGAGGAACGGAGAAGAGAGCAACATGGGTTGTGTGGCTTACAAGGGAGGACACGGCCCTGATTCCCTTCATTAGCCACAACTGGGAAGACAGTTGATAAGAAAGGCAGGCTGCATGCGGCAGGCTTCTGGGAGCAAACATGACTTTATCCTGTGGCTTATCTGTGTTCCTGGCATCTTCCCAACCATGTGAGTTTTGCTGTGCCTTCAAGCCTGAGATTCTTGCTTCAGCCTTGCCAAACTAATTATTTCAGTTTGGTTTGTTTGTGTTGCTCATGTTTTGGACTTAAGTTTCTGCAGTCAAAGGCTGTTCCTGGGAGAGTTTTTCTCCAGCCAGAAGGGGGCAAAGTTGGAGATAATAAAGGGGCTCTTATTGCTTATCTGACTGTGTTGCCTTTGTGCCACGCCCCACGTCATCACATTTAACTTTGGGGGCAAAAGTTGTAGATTGTTTGCTAAAAGAAGTTTCAAATCCTTAGCTTGGTTCCCGGCTTCAGGCCATCATAGGATAGCACAATTGAAGAGATATATATAATGAAAGCTGCATAATTGGGGACACATATAATGAGGAATGCAGAATTCATAAAGTTAGATATGTGATGGATCGGATTTACAAAGGTAATTGTTTCCTTAATTGTAATTTGGGGGTTATCATTGAGTCAGGTTTATGCACAGAATATGTGTTGTGTGACCTGAAACTGTGGTTTGGCTTCATCTCAGGGTTAGTTTTTGGTGTTATTTCAGTTCCCTCTGAGATTCATCCTCGTATTTTCTCATTTTCATTTAGTACTGAAAATACAAGCTCAACTGTCCCCTATCTCTTTTGGACCAAATGAGTATAGAATAACATGCAATCCTTCGCTCACTTTATGCAGTTGGCTTCGTTTACTTGTTTACCAGGAAGCGAGTGAGTTTCACATTGCAGATTTCTAGTGAGTGGTTTAGGTGGAGTCCTAAAACAGAATTAAGTAATCATTTCCTCAGGGATCGCTTCTACATCTCCTTAATTGTATGAACTCTGGCTTAAGTTCAGTAATGTCATCTGTGTTGGGAGTTTTGTAAACCATACTTCTGCATTACTCAAAAACAGGAAAAGGGTTCTTCAGCCAGTTTTATTCAAATATTAGGGAGGTAAAGGTATGCTCGGTGCAAACTTAAGGTTAAAATATGCATGTAAAGTTTTTCATGTTGGCTTTTCGTTTCCTGATATTTTCTGACACCTCACTATTTAATTTTCATAAGAAGGTACAACATCCTTGTATGTATTACCAACATTCAAGACCAAATCTAAGTCATATAAAAGAATCAAGCATCTCCCAACTTTTCTTTTTTTTTTTTCCCTTCCCTTGTTTCCTTCAATATTTCTGTACTCCAAAGTACTTTTGAGCATTGAGAATGAAGATTTATTAGTTTCAATTCAGTTTTAAATACTCTGATCAATTCAACCTTCAGTGTTGTGTGCCAGCTCAGTTCAATTCAGTGAAAGCTTGCGGGAAGTAAATCTTAACATCCAATAGTGCATATTCCTTGGAAAGTATTTTTTAGCACAGAATAAAATTTACAATTACTGGTATCAAACTATATGTTGTTTTTGTGGGCCCAGTAGAATTATCATTTGAATAAGAAATTAACTATTTAGGTATACTAACATTCCGCCAATGCATTGGGGGAATTTATACAGCTCAGAATCTGCTCATTAACTTTTTATCTATTATTTGTTTCCAAGCATTACAGTTGAATAAATAATGTCTTTTGATGAAAAAGCTATTAATTTCCGTTTATAATTCTTGGCTTCTTCTTCTTGGACTATTTAAATATTGGATTCAAAATAGGCAGCAGATACATTATATTTAATACTTTACTTAACAACTTTAGAAAATCCTAAACAGTAAATTTGGACTGTTGAATTCAATGAGATCTACAGAATGTATTTATTTTTACTCTTTGGGTTTTTATATTATTTGTGCTAGGTATAATGATTGTAATTTACTTTGAACTTGGGGGATAACTGAATTCTTTTCACTGTGAATGTTTTAATTTCATGTTACTGCTATTACATTTATTATCTTGGTTTTATATTGTATTTATATATTTACACAACAATGCATTTTGTTTTTCAATTTTGCAAGCCACTATGGGTTTGCATTAAATAAATACAAGAAATTTCTTATTCATTTATTGTAAATTTTATAAGGAAGTGGAGCATAAGCCCTTCTTTTATTAACGTGTCAATCTTATTATTATGCTAAGAACCCTGGTTATACTTTCCTACGATTTTCAGTTTTCCTAATGCCACTGCACACTCCAAGAATGTTTAGTCTGTATTTTTTTTATATTAGTTGCAGATATGTAATCTACCCATATCTGGTTTTCATCTTTACTCCCAACATATATTTGTCCTGAATGGCAACACAAAGGAGAAGAAACAAACAGGAACAATTTTGGTTTGTAAAATGGCTGACACCGAAACCATGAAAGCTGATTAAGCCTTACATTAAATTTCTAAATAGGAAGCAAACATTATTTTTTTATTTATTGGTAAAATTTATTCACTGCCATCTTAGCTCAGGGGAAATCTGGGCAGCTTACAGTCATAAAAGATAAAAATTCTGTAAGCTAGAACACATAAATAAGTTAATATATAAAGCCAAACATTGTGCCCCAATTAAAGATGAGAGTGAGAGAGATGAGGTGGGGGAACTGGGATCTGTTAATTTATCAACCATCTCCATTGTGATGCTCCCCCTATGGAGCCCAAAAGCCAAGTGGCAGAGGCAGATCTTTAGGTTCTTATAGAACAGGGGTGTCAAACTCGATTTCATTGAAGGCTGCATCAGGATTGTATTTTACCGCAGAGGGCCAGAGTGGGCATGGCCAGGGTGGGTGTGGTCAGCTCGACATCACTCATGTCAGGGGTGCCTGTGGTGGCCCAAGCCCTCTGCCAGAGAAAACAGGCTCCTGAGCTCTGTTTTCGGCTGCAACGGCCTCCTGTAAGTAACCCTCTGCCAGTGAAAAGAGGGCTGCATGCAGCCCACCCAAGTTCTGTTTTTGCTGGCAGAGGCACCGCAGGCCAGTCTTTCGCCATTTCCAGGGTAGCCCTGCGGGCCAGATCTAATCACCCCGCAGGCCGGATCTGGCCCACGGGCCTTGAGTTTGACACCCCTGTTATAGAAGTTTGGGAGGGTTGGAGCAGACCTCACTCCAGGGAACAAGAAGTTCCTTGGGGCAAGTGTGCAACGCAGAGGTGATATTCAGCAGGTTCTGACCAGTTTTGGAGAACCGGTAGCAGAAATTTTGAGTAGTTTGGAGAACTGACAAATACCACCTCTGATTGGCCCCGCCCCCATCTATTCTCTGCCTCCCGCGTCCCAGCTGATTGGCTGGGTCTTCTTTTGTTGCCCTGCACAGGAGAACGGAGCTGGAAAGCAGGTTAGTGGGGTGGGGAGGGAATGGGATTTTGCAGTAATATTCCCCCAGGAGTGGGGAGGGAATGGGCATTTTACATATCCTCCCCCTGCCATGCCCCACCAAGCCACACCCACCAAGCCATGCTCACAGAACCGGTAGTAAAAAAATTTGAATCCCACCACTGGTGCAATGGCAGGAAAGGCCTTTCTCCTGGGCCCTGCTAGCCAGAATACTTAGGCTGACAGGATCTGCAGCATGCTTCCCCTGCCAGTATGGGTGGGGTTGGCCAAGCCCACTAGGATGAGATGGTCCTTCAAGTAGCCTGGACCCATTTGTATATTCTCTGCCCCCTTATCTTTCGTGGTTTGATTATTGATGAATACATAGTGTAATTCAGGAGTGTCAAACTCATGGTATCATGGCAGCATCATGTGATGTATCAGGACTTTTTCCCCCTTTGCTAAACCGGGTGTGGGTGTGGCCAGTGCGTGACGCATCTGCCCCGCGGGCCAAGAGTTTGACAGCCCTGGTGTAATTGTATTACATGCTGGCTGGGGAATTCTGGGAATTGAAGTCCACACATCTTTAAAAATGTCACGTTTGAAAAACACTGGTTTACAGCTACTGGTGTGACACTTTCTTACTGGGGATTTGTGGGCTGACTGAGGATATGGCCTTGGTCAAGAGTGCCAGTTACAAAATGGTTTTCATCATGCAATATTCACTTACTAGAAAGACTGTCCTGTGTAAACAGGTCAAATCAAACTATTTTATATTTCTACTATGATCTGTGAAATCACTAGGATCTACTCTGCACTATTGGGAGTCACTAAGCACTTTCCATCTCCACAAAGCATGTAAACCTGGAGGGAAATCACAATTATTTGAAGGTATTGCACATAAATGCTACTCTGGGCTCCGATACATCCAAAGCACCTTTTGGAGATCCGATCCAAAACACTGCATAGCCTTCATAGTTTCTCTTATTCTGTGTCCTATATGATTTCTTCAAGTAGATAGATATTTAGGTCCAGCACAGTAAATGAAAGTATAGCTTGCTCATTTTCCCCCTTTGCCAAGTTCTCTTATATTATATATAAAAAGGGGGATCAAAAACTTGAAGGTAACTGTATAGTAGTTTTAGCTGTTAGAAGTTGGTCATTAACATAGTGTACAAATTTTGCAATGTTACTGTAATATGTGTTAACTCAGACGAAAAGCATGATGTTTAATGAAATGTATCTAAAGTACAATATGTTTAGGATTGCAGGTCTAATCTGTTAAGACTACAAGTCTCATGAAGACATTTCCCACGAAAAAATTGGGAAGGAAGCTAGATTATTTTACACCAGGTCAGCATAAGGCAGACTTTTATTAATTTGATCCGCTCTGGCTGAGAGCATCAAAGACTGTGACGTGGGTTTAGCTTGACTTTTTTTTTAAACTAGATATTGCTCTTTCTGTCACAAAAGAAAAATGGATCTGGTTCTTTTTGTCACCCCCCCAAAATAATAGCCATTTATTGTATCAACTTATGATCAACAGAAAATAAACATTCAACTTGTTCTGAGGGCAAGTCAGAAGACTTCGCTTGTAAGTAGTCACCAAGGAGGAAGAAGTAAGCAGAACAAAAAAAAGTACAGTTTCTTCATGTAATTAATTAGGTTACCTACTTTTTTTTTCTTTAATTTTTGTTCTTAAGCAAAAATTTCTATTTAAACGTATCTTTAATGGTGAACAGCCCGAACATCTCATTCTTTACTTGGTAATATACAATTCAGGAATGTTTCCTACTTTCAATAAGGATGAGTTTTAGTAAATTGTAGCTTATCAGAGTACATATAGCAACAGAAGACATTGCAACAATTCTGTCAAAAACAGAAGAGAAAAATGAATCATACCTCACCAAGAAAAAAAGGGGAAGAATTGGCCATTAGGCAATGTCAAGTAGCTGTTTTTGAAACTGCTACAAATAGTTAACTATGTAATTTATCTTTGTTGTAACGTTATTGCCAGACAAAAATAAGGCACTTCTTAGATATCAGAATAAAATTAACTTGACTGATCTTGACTATTATGTTTATGAAATCCCTGACACACTGAAAATATCACTCATTCTTTTTAGGAATTTCTTGTATTTAGAGATGGGTTTCTCAATATCCGCAACTTGGTGGCTGGACAATTCTGGGAATTAAAATCCACAAGTTTTAAAGCTGCTGATGTTGAAAAACGTTGATTTAGACTGAAGCTAGACCAAACGTCTACTCTCGTTTGGAAACTAGGATTAAACAACTCTAAATACTGATTGCTGTGGCCAATTTGTATCTATAATAAAAATTACTTGTACTTTCTACCCTATTAAGGACATTGTTTTTTCCAGACAGCTTAACTTAAAGATATCAACATGAATTATTTCTATAATGCACATCTGGAAAGATCCTTCACTTAAAGAATTTCCTCTGGCTACGTAGCCATAAACATTTACAAAGCACAAGATAAATTATACCAAAATGACAGAGTTATCATTTAAACAAAATGTACCAAATCTATAATGTTCTTTAAACCCTCTATAAAATGCTTTTGAAACAGCTTGTAAAAGCAAACTGTTGTTCAACAGAGCTAAATTGAAATCCATTTTTTTAATGTTCTAACATGATTATCCTTCATGATTTTCAACATATTCTTACTAATACCATAATATTTACTTGTAAGTTATGCAATTGAGAACCTTCATCTAGATTTCCTTAAATCATTACCAAATAAAAAGAGAGCAAAGAAAAGACTGAATTAGAACCAGAGTGAAATATGGAGATAGTTCATCTGGGGTCTGATTTTTTGAGGACAGGATACAAGCAAAGCCTCTTATCACTATGTTAAAACGTGCAAACATACAATCTTTTAAAGGATATATATGCAAAGTAAAAAAAAATATTGTACATGTAAATTATTTTCTGTTTCTAGGGAACCAAGGCATTTTGAATGCAGCGCGAGGCTTTTGGTGGTGCTATTCACAATCCTTTATAGTTAAAAAAAATGTAATATGATCTTGACCTGATTAATCCATACAACACGTTAGAAACACATTTCAGTAACTTCAGTGAAAACAAAAAGTTTGCAGAATTCCAGGAGAGTACAATAATATTTCCTTGTCTTCCATATTCTCCATGTTGAATTGTTTCAGAAATCAGAGAACAGCAATATATTGAAATATTAGGACAGTCAAAAAGCACCTCCAAGACTTTAAAACAGTCTCCTAAAAACTTCTCACATTTGTTTCCCTCTGTCTCTGTCTTTCTCCTTTAAAGCAGCAAATAATAAGCCTTGTTCATATTGCTGGTAAAAATTCAGAATATAAACCTCTTCCTTTATTTGACTATTCCTTTGTTAAATTTGGCGAATCAGGAACAGGATCTGAAAAATATTAACAATGTGAAATTAATACATTCAACCTATACTTTGTTGTGGTATTGGTTATTTAAATGTGAAGATTTCTTAGCCCATTTCTTCCCACCCAACAATTAAAAGTAAAGGGGGAAATGGCACTAATAAATAGGAGCAGGTCACTTCCCATTAAATGCCTCAGAAAGCAGTCAGTCTACAAAATTCTTTTGTCTGGTGTCCCCAGAAGCAAAAGGAATACTATCTTCTGATGGCTTCAAAACCAAGCGATTTATCATATAATAAGCGTCAATGAAATGACCTCAAATACATTCTAAATTCAAGAAAAGACTGGACAACCATTGTCTGAGATTCTCTAAGGACTTGGGCAGAGGATTGGACAAGGTCCCTTCCAATCCTATGGTTCTATGATTGTTGATATATAGCAAAATGGATGGCATTTATCTCTCAATTCTGTATTGGTTGCATGGGAGCTAATAATATTGTTGATATAGAAAGTGCCACAAGAGTCATTATTGTTTAATGCTCTGGAATTAAAAGTAGCCTGCCAGACTACCAAAAAGACCATAGTAATATGGGAAAAAACAAGAAGGGGAAAAGGGAACTTTCTGCGGCATGTAAGGAAATGATGAAAGAGTTAAATTTAAAAGATTTATGGAGGGAACGGAACCTTGAAGAGAAACAATTTACATACTATTCCAATCCACATAAGATTTGGACTAGAATAGATATGGCTTGGATGGATTTGGATTTGGCTAATGAAATAAAAGAAATTAAAATCCTACCATATGAATGGGTTGACCACAACCCAATACAGCTAATTTGGAGAGACAGGAGAGGAATAAAAAAAAGATGGACACTAAATACCCAAATAGTAAACGAAGAAGAGTATATTAATAAGCTGAAAGAGGAGCTAAACTATTTCCTAAAAGATAATAATAATGAAACAACTTCAAAACAGAATATTTGGGATACTATGAAAGCAATTATAAGAGGTACAACAATTTCCTATAATGCTATGAGAAACAAGAGAACTTATGCCCAACAAAACGTATTACAACAACAAATCAAAGACTTAGAAATACAATTACAAAAAACCACTAAGATCCAAGGAATACAAAACCAGTTAATATTAGCCAAACATAAGCTGAATTTAATTGAACAAGATAAAATAGAAGTTAGTTTGAGAAGGTCCAAACAAAATTATTTTGAACACGCTAATAAACCAGGAAGATGGCTATCTTATAAACTTAAAAAAGAAAAAGAAAAGAGACTGATACACCAACTAATAGATGAGAAAGGCATACCACAACATGATATTGAGAAGAAAAAAGATATTATATTAAACTATTTTCAAAGATTATATAAAAAAGAAGAAATCAATGAAGACAAAATAAGAACTTATCTGGAGAATACGAATGATAAAATAATAGGGGAAGGAGAGAAAGAATTATTAAATAAGGATATTACATGGTCTGAGTTGAAATCTGCAATGGAGAATCAAAGTAATAATAAATCCCCTGGTCCAGATGGGATTCCAGTAGAATTGTACAAAGCTACAATAGAGTTAGTAGGGCCACTGATGCTGGAAGTGTTTAACGAAGTACTTTTGGCAGCCAAAATGCCAGACTCATGGAGGGGGGCGTTGATTTCGTTAATTCCGAAGGAGGATGTAGATGCCAGATATATCAACAATTATAGACCAATTTCACTTTTAAACGCTGATTATAAATTATTTACCTCAATTATAGCGAATAGAGTAAAACAAGTTTTAAATTTATACATTCATGAAGATCAAAATGGTTTCCTTCCGTCCCGCCAAATCAAAAATAATCTAAGAACCGTTATTGACGTCTTAGAATATTATGAAGTTCATCCAGAGAAACAATTTGCACTCATGTTTTTAGATGCGGAGAAAGCATTTGATAATCTACATTGGCACTTTTTAATACAAAAAATCTATAACATGAGTCTAGGCACTAAATTCGAGAACATTATCACAACAATTTACAACACCCAACAGGCCAACATACTAATTAATGGTGAACAAACAGGCCCATTAAACATTGAAAAGGGCGTTAGACAGGGTTGCCCCCTCTCACCCCTCCTATTTATACTTGCTTTAGAATCATTGTTAATGCGGATAAGACAACACTCTGAAATCCAAGGAGTTAGGGTCAAAGCAGAGGAATATAAACTACAGGCATTTGCAGACGATATGGTTTTCTTCCTAGAGGAACCCATGGAAAAAGGACATAAAAGAACTAGAACAATTTGGTTCAGTAGCAGGATTAAAGATCAATAGAAATAAGACAAAATTAATGACTAAAAATCTAACAGAGAATCAGAGGAAAGAATTAGAAAAAACCATAGGGACACAGGCAACAAAAAAGGTCAAATATTTAGGCATATGGTTAACACCACATAGTAAATCGCTCAAAGAGAATAATTATGATAAACTATTACAGCAAATTAAGAAAGACCTAGAATCCTGGAATAAGCTGCAGCTTTCTCTACTGGGCAGGATTGCCACGATCAAAATGAACATCTTACCAAAATTCCTTTACTTATTCCAGACAATCCCAATTAAATTACCAAAAAATTTTTTTGAAGATATAAATAAGGTAACACTTAAATTTATTTGGCAAGGGAAAAAAGCTAGAATCAATATTAAGGCTTTACAAGATGCAAAAAGTAGAGGGGGGCTAGCGCTCCCAAATTGGGAATTATATTATTGGGCAGCCAACTTATTATGGTTAAAAGACTGGGTCAATTTACTCAACAAAAGAACTTTAGCCTTAGAAGGGCACGATCTTCAGAGAGGGTGGCATGCATTTCTATGGGAAGTGGGGAAAACTAAACAGTCGTATTTTCATAGACACCTTATTAGAGATTCATTATTAACTAATTGGAAAAAAATATGCAAAAAACATTATTTAAAAATTCCGATTTGGCTTTCAACAATGGAGGCAATGGTTCATCCCAACAATTTGGATATAACAAAAACGACTAAATATCAAGATTTATTAGACCCTCTAGGAAAATTAAGAACTCGACAGGATTTACAGGAACAGGGATTTAAAATCGACCAGTGGTTATATATACAAATCCATAGCAGATACAAACAAGATATCAAAGAGTTTGGAATCTATAGCAAATTACAATATTTAGATAAAATCTTATTAGGATCAAATAAAAAGAATATTTCCAAATTTTATAAATATTTATTGGAGGTAGAATTAGAGCAAGAGATAGTGAAAGGGAACATGATAACGTGGAGTAGGAATATTGGAAGAAGCATTACATTAACAGAATGGGAAAAGATCTGGAATAGAAACATCAAGATTATGAAATCGGTGGCGTACAAAGAAAATATGTATAAAATGTTATATAGATGGCACTTACCCCCTTCGAGGTTGGCGAAGATGAACCCTAACATGAGCTCAAGGTGTTGGAAATGCAAAAGCACTGAAGGAACATTTTTCCACACATGGTGGTCTTGTAAAACTACCCAAAAATTTTGGCAAAAAATCAGAAAATGGTTGGAGGAGATAGCTAAAGAACAAATAGACTATAAACCAGAGTTCTTCCTGTTAGGGATCTCTGATAGATATTTATCCAAAAAGACAAAATATGTAATAATCCATATTCTAACTGCGGCTAGATTAGCGTTTGCTCAATGTTGGAAATCACCTCATACACCTTCAGAGCAAATGGTTATTCAGAAAATTTGTGAGTGTGTTGAAATGGATAAACTAACGATAGCGTTAAAAAACAAAGAGTCCTCAACATTTTACGACAACTGGGACTCGTGGTATAATTGGCTTACACAGAGACAAATTATGTAAATGATAAAAAGTAACTTAAACATAATGGAAAAGAGGAATAGATTGGATATGATGAAGAGAAATGACCCTTACAGACTGTCACAAAAATATATCATTTGTTTTTAATTGTATTTTCTACCCTATTCTCCCTCCCCTTCCCTTCCCTTCTCTCCTTCTATATCCTTTATCTTCCCCCCAACCGGCCTTTATCCGGTGTGTTAGGCCGGGTGTTTTCCTTCTTTCCCCCTAGCCGTTTTCTTTCTATTTTGTAAATGTATTGTCGATGTGTTTTTAAATTGTAAATTCAATAAAATCTATTTTTAAAAAAATAAAAATAAAAGTAGCCTGCCAGCTATCCTACAGAGAAAAATTAAGAAACATCTCAAGGTCTAGTAACATATGAATGCTTCCTTTTGCCCAATACCAGTGGAAATAATTTGGTTCCACTTTGCAGTCTATCTGAACTGAAGGTTTTTGCTCACAGCAAATATCCTTAGAGTTGAAAATTTATTTTTCATATACTTGCTTTTTCTCCATTTGGGGGCACAAAACATTTAAGATTTAGGACACTTTTCTACATATTCATGATGCATGACTGTATTTTTTTTTAAATTTCAACTATCTTTATTAAATTTCAAAGTTGAACATTAAACTGCAAGTTAAAAGAAAAAGAGAAAGGGAGTGACCAAAACAAAAGTCACAAAAAAGAAAAATACTTCAAACAAGTAATAAAAATGACAGTTTTAGAAGATATAACAATGCAACAACCTCTGTACGTTTAAACAAATTATTGCTAATCTTTAAAATAGACCAAAATACTAACAATCAGTATTCTAATGTACGCTTGGTGCAGAGGCATTCGCGCAGGCGCAGAGGCGTTCTAACCCGCCTCCTTCAAGCCTGCACAATGCCGATTGCTGCAGCAGCTGCCACGCGGCGCTACTCTGCGCCGTGCAAAGCAGCTGCGCTTCGAATTCTGGCCATAAAAGTGAGTATGGGAGCCCGGCCAGGTGGGTGGGCCAAACACAGAGCAGTGGAGAGAATCGGTTCGGTCTCTGCTGCTCATCGCCGCAACCGGCTCTCCAGAACCGGGCAGAACCGGTCAAATACCACCACTGCTCCCTTCCCATCTTTTGTATTTGTATAATTTGTATTTTTACAGTATTTTATTCAGTATTCATTAACCCTAGTGTGGGAATAACACTAGGAAGAAGATTCTTACTATATAAATGTTTTTTAATAGTTTATACATTGTAACATTGTAAGCAGGGGTGGGATTCAACCAGTGTAACAACTGGTTTGGTGAGCGTGCAGGCAGTGTTTGAAAACTGCCCATTTTCAGCTCTAGCCCGGTGAATGAAACAGCTGAGGCACGGCAATCTGCTGTGCCGCGCAAATCAGCTGGGCTGCAAATCACAGAAATAAAGGACAGACTAGGGAACAGGTGGGTGGGTGGGGCGGGCCAACTAATTGCCAGAACTACCGGTTCTCCCAAACCAGTCGAAACCAGCTGAATCCCACCCGATTGTAAGCCACCCAGAGTCATCTTGCGTGAAGTGAGCAGTTGACTGACTGACTGACTGAATGAATGAATGAATGAACGAACCTAATAAGAAAGTTAGAGACCCGCGTAGATAGAGAGAGGTTTGCTGCTAGCCATTCGCATGCACTCACCCTGCAATGAACTACTTACCAAGTGATGGGAAGAAACATTCTCCCGGGACTGGAGGCGAGAGAGGGGTATTTGGCTCGGAGAGAAGGTGTCGGTCTGACTCGGAAGCCTGACGGCTCGCCATAAATGATAGCTGAGGCCTAATCCTGGATTCTGGCTCTATGTCAGGGACAGCATCAAAGACGGGATTCTCAATGCCATGGGCGTTGCTGCAAAAGAAAGCCGAGTCGGATAATCTCATCAGGGTCAAAGCCCATCCTTTTATATTCCCATCATTCCACTTCAAAGCACAATGTCAGAAAACTATTAATATAAATATGAAAATTTATTTTTGATTCAGTGCTACTGATGGGGGTTTACAATGAGATGTGTTGTGGGATCAGAACATGGGCGAGACAGAAACCAATTAGAAATCTATTATTATTTTTAATATTTTAAGCTAAATGTATGCCCTAAAAAAATAACCCTCTGCTTATACATTGCCATGGGGCATGGTGGCTCAGCAGTTAAGACACTGAGCTTGTCAGCTGGAAAGTAGACAGCCCAGGTTCGAGACCCAAGCACCACGCAATGGAGTGAGCTCCCATTACTTGGCCCAGCTCCTACCCACCCAGCAGTGTGAAAGCATGCAAATGCGAATAGATAAATAGGTAGCAGTTCAGTGTTAAGGTAATAGCGTTCCATGCGCTTCAGCATATAGTCATGCTGGCCACATGACCATGGAAGTATCTTTGGATTGGCTCTCTCAGCTAAGAAATGGAGATAAATACCACTTTAGAGTCGGACATGACTGGACAGGGGAAATCTTTACTTTTTATACACTTGACTCCCTCAATAGTCTTTTTTTTTAAAAAAAATATTTTCTGGCTTGAAAAAGAGAATGGTCAAGTAAGGGCTTTAATAACGTCAGACCATGCCTAGAAAAAGCTGATGATGGACACTGGACAAGCTTCTGACTAAATAAGGGAAGGCCTAAGCCCAAAAGTAAATCAGAGCTTTTTTTGTTTTCTGCTGCAGTTAACAGGCCTGCTTTGCATTATGTCCGCACTGAGAATGTTGCCTTATTCAAATTGGGGTTTTCCCCAACTGCTGGGATAAAGTTATTATCTCAGCAGGAAATTAGATAGCCATGATATCCTAATGCTGACTTGTAGCCTTTTTCTATCCCCTCTCTTTCAAGTCATTACAATCATCTTGATTTTTCTCCGTGTAACAGATGAAAAAAAAAATTAATGGGTTGGACAGCTCTCCTTGAAAGAAGGAAGGAAAGAGAGAGAGTTCTCCTACAAATGCACAGTACGGAGCTTGCTTGACAATTCGCCAGTCTTCCTGAAGCTATGAGAAGAGATTTCTGCCCCATAGCTTCCCACTGCTAAGCAATCATAGATCAAATAATGCCAATTTTAAGAAAACTGATTTCCAGCTAATTTCAAGCTCAGTTCAAGACACTCTCTTGACTTTTCACATCCAAAACAACCTAGTCCCAGAGTTTCTCAAGAAGTATCTCAGGAAATGTCAATATCTGGGTGACGTTATCTGGGCTTGAAAACTAGGTCTCATTAATACTTGGATGAAAACTCTCCGGGAAACCTAAGGATTGTATGCTAGAATGTTTCACACAGCCAAGATGTTTTTATCAGTGACATCTTCTTGTTGAATTCCTCTTTCAAGCAGAGCTGCCAGACATGCATCCTTCAGACTTTTATAAGTAGGAGACTTTTGAAACCGGTTTGGTTATTTTTGTTTGATAAGGCTTAATTTATTGTCTCACCCACAATGTGGTTTTGCAATAACAAATACATGATACGGTTTAAGGTATTTGCTTACCTATCCATCCTTACGAGTTCGTGAGCACCTACAAAAAGCAAATGCAATTTTGTTACAGGAAGGATAGGTAGTCCTGCTTCAGTACCACCCAATCCCAATATTTTGAGCACAAAAAAAATATAAGGATCATTCAGTCCCTTGAATTAAACACAATCCTTCTGGATTTGTTCAATAACTAGGGGTACCATCATGCATTCAAGAGAATGGAACCATTTTCTATTTCCTCAGCAGAGACTGTTTGCTTTGCTTTTCCTAAGCAACTAATCCCATTGTCTTTGGTCCAACACTTGTTGGCTTGGTGATTTGAATTAGACAAGTAAAAAAGTACTCATTCATATGGCATACAGATCCTTGACCCAAATGGTTCAGGAGCTGAATCCTTTATTTCACCCATTGATATTCCCGTAAAAGGCATCTTTGGAATAAAACTAAAGCATGGCCAAATCATTGCAACACAGTGATCGGCATTACCTAACCTCTCATTTGCAAAGAACAGATGGTACTATTCCAAGTCGTATCCAAAAACTATTCCTCTAGTTTTAAGTGCAGAAGCTTTCACAATTATACACGTCTGTAGATATTCCCTGTCAAAAAGATCCACGTGGAACAATAAAATAAAAATCCAGCAGCATGAATCTGGTAACTTAGTAGGTGTCCCTTTTGGCTCTATTACTCTTATTGTCAACTCATAAGATATTTTTTTATGGTCTTTTAGAGTTGCCAACAAAAAGGGAGGGGGGAGCAATGCAGCAGCTTGCAAACCGAAGCTGCATTCTATAAATGTTTTTAAAGATAGTAACTAGGTGACCGAAGTTTCTGCTACGCAAAATTCTAACTGGAAAGCATGACTGATGACTCTTGGCTATGGATGTGTCCCATTGGAGAATATGAATTATGATACACCCAGCGGGTGGGGGAAAACCAGGGTCAGGGGTAACAATGAATGAAGTGTCTCTGAGTCGGCTACACCCAGGCAGTGCCGGCACGTTAACTCTCAATAAATCCTTTTTAAATTATGGAAGTTTGGCTCGAGACTCATGATTTAAAAAGTGCCGGAATCCTGACAGTTTATGTTTATTCTCAGTCAATCGAAAATATAACAATATTTACAGGAACCTTTCCTAACCTGCTATCTTTTGGGCATGCTGGATTACAACTCCCTTCACTAACAGCCAACAAATGAATTGTTCACTGAAGGTGTAGATAGTCTGAGTTGAAATTCTGAAATCTGAGTTATGCAACAGATTTGGAGGACTTCAAGATAGGAAAGATTAATCTAGTTGATGGTATACTGGTTGTTTCATCACATTTCGATACATTACTAAAATGATATATCATAGTTTTACAGCAATATGAAGCAAAATTTGATCAGAAGAAGCTAAGTGGTTATTTTTAGTAGTACAACAAACATCAGATTTCTTTCACCTTTCAAAATCTTATTAATTTTACTCCATGTGCCACTGGTTTTAATAATGTAACTATCACCTTACTAATGGATTTCTAAACAGATTTTTCTAGGCAGGATGCTGTGGTTTCATATTTAATTTGTTTTCTGTAAACACACACACAAAATAGTTCTTTTGCAGTGTATTTTGAGACTAGAAATTTTTCACAAATATTTAACTTCAATTTATTTTGTCAGCATCTTACCTGTGCTACTTTAACGTAAGATACTGTACGCAGACATTCAATGGTGCATATAAAAATGAAATCAAGCTAAATCCAGATTTAGAATAATGAGCTTCAACATAAAAAAGTCTTCCCAGTAATGGAAATTTCCTATTTGCGTGAATGAGTAACTACAGAACAGGGATGGGCAAAATGGCAACCTGTGGACTTCAACTCCCAGAATTCCTGAGCCAGCCTCTAGCCTTCTCCTTCTATTTACAGTAAACAGTTGGTGGGGGGAGAAATAAGGAACCCACCCCAAAATCATTTCTCACTGGAGGAACACATAACCTCCCACTAGAGATCCTAATACTTCCCTCTTTGATTTCCATGTGAGATAGGCAGCAATACAAATAGGATAAGTAAAATGTCATTCATGTAATAATGCACGCAATAATGGAAGGAAAGGCAGTTTTATCACTTTATATATATATGAAATAAAGAATCAAAGTAGTGGCAAAAAAATCAGGGTTAATCCAGATACTTACGCCTGTTAGTAATTATTTGCCTCTGCTTGTAAATAAGGAGTAGAATGAGAGGCAAACACAGAATGCCTATTATGCAAGCCACTGTTGCAATTGTCACTGCTGTGGTATCTGAAAAAAATAACAAAAAAACAAAAAAACCACAATACAGAAATCAGAAAGGAAGCACATTTTTCTACTCATTGGAAGTTGTGGCCTCATTTTCTGAGTTAAAGTTATTGACTAAGTCCTCCTGTTTCTCTAATTTACACCTGAGGTGGCAGTGTCTGCAATTTCAAGGGAATCCCGTAAAATAAAACAGATTTCCTCACTGTAAAATTTGATTTATACATCCAATGAATGAGAAGCCATTCTAACGGGGAAAAGTAATGAGAGACTCCAGATATTTTAGAATATAATCAGCGTAGCCAATATTGAAAGCTAATGGGGTGAACTTGAATGCAACCACCCCGGGCCCAACTGATTTGCAAAACCCGATTTATTTGTGTCTTTAAGTCAGTTTTGATTCCTGACACCAAGGACTGAGGTAGAGTTACTAGGCCCAAAGCCACCCAGCTGGCTTCATCCAGCTGCTTAAGGCAGGACCAGAACTCATAGTCTCTTAGTTTCTAGCCTACAGAAAATTTGTTCTTAAAATGTTTTGGAAAATGCATCATGTTACCTCTAATTTGCTAAGTGAGCGTTTTAATTTCCCTTCATTTGTTTATATTTCAAATAAAAATAAATCTTTTCACATTTCAGACTGCCTCATTTAAATGGAAACCATTTTAAATATCCCCAGATAATAACTACCACTGTTTATATGATAGAAATGTAATTAAGAAATACATTCTTGAAGTGGAGATATTGAAGTAATTTCCAGCTATTGTTAATCTACAGTTATTAGATCAATTATTTATCACTTTTTATAATATAGGGGTAGAATTCAGCAACTTTTAATGTAGCTTCTCATGCTTGGAGGTGGACATTATTTTAAAGTTATTTTTAAATTTCAAACTTAAGTGCAGTTAGTGCAAACAAGCTACTCAAATACAGCCTATGCTTGTTTCACTAACCATATTTAAGATTATCTGTAGATTAGCATTTTATATTGTGGTAAATTTAAAACGGAAATAGACTTCACAGCTCCCTCTGGTAGGGAAAGGAAGGGAAACCTACCAAGTGTGACCTGAAGGAGTTTTTAATGCTAAAGACTCCAATGTTTAATTTCTGCCCACAGTAAAAAAAAAAGCCAGTATAAGCCAGAAGGCTTGAAAGAAACAAAGTGACAAATTTTATTTATTGTTTACATCCATCACTTTCCTATATGGACGATGTCTCTCAATGTTGCACATTAACCATCAAAGAGAAATCAGTTAATGTTGATTAAAATCTAAAATGTGTAATTTTAACATAACATAAAACATACGTAAGGCCAATTGTTACAACTGTTTGTTTAGTGGCTGATCAAAGTTACAAGGCACTGAAAAAAGTGAGTTACGACCATTTTTCACACTTACGACCACTGCAGCATTCCCCACAGTCACGTGATCAAAATTTGGGTGCTTGGCAACTGGCTCATATTTATGGCGGTTGTAGGTCACGTGATCATCTTTTGTGATTTTTGACAAGTGAAGTCAATGGGGAAGCCACAGTCACTTAACAATGGTGTTACTAACTTAACAACTATGGCAAGAAAGGACAAAGTTAAACTTAACAAGTGTCTCACTTAGGAACAGAAATTTTGGGCTCAGTTGTGATCATAAGTCAAGGACTACCTACAAAAACATCAGACACTTCTGTTTGTCTCTCACTCAAACAAAGGTTCCCTCCCTACCAAAAACAGATCTCTTTCAAAATGGACTGACTCTGGTCTGCCGCACACACTTGAGCATCTTGCTGAAGAGGATTAGATGGTTTCTTAGGGACTAGGTGCCCTATTGCTTCCTTCAAGAAAACAGGGCACATCCTTTCTTAAAATCCAATTAATTGCTGCCTGGGTCCAATTAATTTTCCCTCATCAGATAGAAAGCCATTTTAGTGCCACTGCTTTGAGCGATGGACAACCACAGGTTACATGAAAGTGATCCTGTTGGCCCTACTGACTCAAAGTTTATCCTACAAAATTGTGCAGTATATAAAAATCAAAATGTGCTTGACAGAAGTAACTTTTCCTTCAGCCTCACACTAAACCCTTCAAGCACATCTGTATGTATTCCATACTTCATTGTCAGAAGCATTCCCAACTACTAGAAAAGTGGTTGGGTAAGATTGTAAAGATGTTTGTTCACCGCCTTGACTAGTGTTTTTGGCATTGCCAAGCACACACTTTGGAGGACTTGTATCAACCATCCAGATCATACATATATTTCCCTGGCTGATCAGAGCTTCAATAGAATGCAAAACTACATCATTTCTTCCAGAGCCGTTTGGATCCAGTTAAAATTTCCCTTGCGGAAGAAAGCTGACACTATAACCTCAAACCTGAATACAGCATTACCTTAGTGTGACAAGAAAGTGTCTCCATTAGGTGACCAACAAGAAAAATTCACATGCAGAATGGCAGGTCACACTATAATGGATATATCAGAGATGAAGGAGTTGAAAATGTGATGGGACAACCCCATAATTGGTGGCCACAAAGTTCTGAATATCCAGAATAGCTGCAGTGTCAGTATGGATATTAAGATCTAACCACAACAGCAAATTACCTCCATCTGCTAAAGCAAGGAAATAGGTAGGGAACTGATTTATTAACACATTAACAAACAATATTTATGTTTCTTGTCTAAAATGGGAAACTGGCACGTTTTGTCATATGTGGTGGACTTGGGTTAAAATAAAATAAACATTGGGCAAAGATACACAGGTGGCTAGAAAAGATGATAGGGAATCATATAGATTTTAAACCTGAACTGTTATTAGATATAATATCAGAAAAATTAGACAAGAAAAGTATGTATTTATTATTACATGTTGTAACAGCAGCGAGGATTATATTCGCATTATTGGAAAAAATGAAGAAACACCACAAGATGAAGAGATGATTAAAAATGATACTAGACGGTGCAGAAATGGATAGATTGACATTGAAAATTAAGCAGAAAGAAGACATAGAATACTATCAAACATGGAAACTATTTAACCAGTGGTTGGAAAAAAGGGATGGAGATTAAGAATATAATCAGAATTGTTAAGCAAATTAAATACCCAGGCAACACAATGTTTATTAAGCACTAAGAAAGGTCCATCCTACCCCTGAAAGGACCTAATGGTAAAGACTGCAACGACGACACTATTAAAGCCAACCTCTTTAACACATTCTTTGGCTCAGTATTTGTAAACAGCAATGGATCAAGCCCAGTACTTCCTATTCGAACCACAGACAACTACAATGATCTAATACATAACAATTTTACAGAAGACAATGTTGAAAAAGCACTACGCAATCTAAAACCATCCCTATCTATTGGACCAGACGGAATATGTGCCCACTTCTTAAAAAAGCTACCCACTGCCATAGCCGAACCTCTAAGCATAATCTTTGAAAAATCTTTCAGGACCAGTTCCTTGCCAAAACTATGGTCACAAGCCACAGTCACCCCATCTTCAAAATGGGAGACCTCAGCCTAGTTGAAAATTACAGACCAATCTCTTTATGCTGTAAAGTCATGGAATCAATTATTAACCAATCCATTATCCTCCACTTAGAAACAAATAACCTACTCTGTAATAAACAATTTGGTTTCAGGAAAAAACTATCCTGTAATCTGCAACTCTTACACTGAAAAAACATATGGACTACACAACTCGCTCAGGGCAAAGCAATAGACGCAATCTAAATAGACTTCTGTAAAGTCTTTGATTCAGTGGTACACGACAAACTACTCCTAAAACTAAAATCTTACGGTATCTCTGGACACCTGCATAACTGGATAGAAGCATTCCTGTCAAACAGACAACAAATGGTCAAAATTGGGAGCGTCCTATCAAATTCTGTACCTGTCAACAGTGGTGTCCCCCAAGGCAGTGTTCTAGGACCAACTCTCTTCATACTCTACATAAGTGACCTCAGTGATCATATTAAGAGCAACTGTGTTCTCTTCGCTGATGATGTAAAGCTAGTCAACACCACAGACAATATTGCTTCCCTTCAAAAAGATCTTGACAATGTATCAGAATGGTCAAACAAATGGCAACTTTAAATCTCAACAAATAAATGTTCTGTCCGACATATTGGCAAAAAAAATCAGAAAATAAAATACAGGCTGAATAGTCAAGAACTTGTTGAGGATCCAAACTTTGTCAAGGACCTTGGAGTACTCATCTCAAATGATCTAAGTGCTAGAGCCCACTGTAACTACATAGCCAAAATGGCATTAAGAGTTGTTAATCTAATCTACATAGCTTTTTCTCTGGTAATATCACACTACTAACTAGAGCATACAAAACATTTGCTAGACCAATACTCGAATACAGCTCATCAGTCTGGAACCCACATTACGTATCCGATATTAACACAGTTGAAAAAGTCCAGAAATATTTCACAAGAAGAGTTCTCCACTCCCCTACTCATTGCAGAATACCTTATGCCACCAGACTCGAAATTCTAGACCTAGAAAAACCTAGAACCACGCTGCCTTCGGTCCGATCTAAGTATAGTATATAAAATCATACGTTGCAATGTCCTACCTGTCAATGAATACTTCAGCTTCAACCATAACAATACAAGAGCACGCAATAGATACAATCTCAAGGTTAATCACACCAAACTTGACTGCAGAAAATACGACTTCAGCAACAGAGTGATCAATGTCTGGAATACTCTACTTGACTGTGGTTTCTTCCCCTAACCTCAAAAACTTTAACCTTAGACTGTCTACTATTGACTTCACTCCTTTCCTAAGAGGCCTATAGGGGATATGCATAAGCGCACCAACATGCCTATCGTCCCTGTCCTATTGTTTCTTTTTATTTTTCTTATATGTATCCATTTCATGTATTCATAACTATGTATATGCTTAAAACTATTATCTTGTAAGCAATTGACAAATAAAATAAATAAAATAAAAATAAATAAAATGTAATTAATAAAAAATAAAATTTTCAAAATGGGTTATCTACCTGGAGAGACAGAACTAGATAGGAAAACAGCACTACCATAGACCACAGTGGCCCTTCATTTCAGTACAGACCAGGGGTGTCGAACTTTCATTGAGGGCCACATCTGGGTTGTGTTTGACCTCGGGAGGCTGGGGGGGCATGGCCAGGGTAAGCATGGCCAGCTCAATGTCACTCGTGTTAGGGGCACCTGTGGTAGCCCAAGTGCTCTGCCAGCAAAAACAGGCTCCCAAGCTCTGTTTTCGGCTACAATGGCCTCCTGCAACTCTCTGCCAGTGAAAACAACGCTCAGGACAGCCTCCCGTGGCCCTCCTGAGATCTGTTTTCATTGGCAGAGGCACTGCGGGCTGGTCCTTTGCTCTTTCCAGGTCAGCTCCGCAGGCCAGGTCTAAGCACCCTGCGGGCCGGATCCAGCCCCTGGGCCTTGAGTTTGACACCCCTGGTATAGACCAAACTAAGGGACAGAATTCAAAGAAGTCTACAGTAACTTTTACTAAGATGGACTATTGTAAAAGAACCTTGTTAAATCTGCTAAATCTGCCCACACTTGTTACCCTCTGGTGATTCTAAGGAGGTGACTGTCAAAGTCAGTGTTCCTCAACCGTGGCAACATGAAGATGTGCAGACTTCCACTATGCTGGCTGGGGAATTCTGGGAGTTGAAGTCTTCAAGTTGCCAAGATTGAGAAACCCTGGTCCAAGTTATTTCTTCCTCTCCTCAGATTGTTTTGGATGTCCGTTGGGTTTTTCACATATCACTCTGCAAACAGATCTGACTTTTCTCTATCTTTTTTACTCTCTGCATCTCACCCCAAGTACTGAGCCTGTGGTGGTCCAAACCAGGTTTTTTCAATTCTGTTAAGTTTTCAGGCCAATCCAAATTTTCTTTCCACTTCCAACCACCAATAACATTAAACAGGGTTAACAATAATAACTTTCTTCTGCTACTGAAGTGTCTCTTCATTCTCTCTGAAATAACTCTTTCAAGGGTTCCCCAGACACTTTTGTTTAAAGGCTTTCAGGTAGACTCACTAGGGATATTCTTCCTATCTTGAAAATCTAATTATTGTTGTCTATGTCACATATATAGATTTTGGTCTGTCCTCATTTATCAATATACAAAGAGAGGAAAATATTTAAAATATTGTTTTAACCTTTTTTCATTTAATATTCTTTTTTTAAGTATTTCATTTTACAATTTTATTATTCTACTGTTATTGTATTTTATGGTATGTGTTACAATCTGTGTTGACAACAATAAACTAACTTACTTCAGTTCTATTCCACCTAGGTATCCCCATTGATAAATATGGCAGATTTGCAAATCAGCCCCTCCTAGGAAAAAAAACCTAATTCCCTTTGAGAATTTGTAACACTCTCAATTGCTCCAATAAATTACTGTCTCCCTCTTTGTCTTTGGATTACATTTGGAAAAAAAATACTACCTTTGTTTTAATTAAGAAAGAACATTAACAGCACTTAAGGCAACCTAAGTAATTCACTCTATTGATCTTTGATCCTTTGTTGACATTAAATATCATCAGCTTATATTAGATGTGGATCATTCCGGTGTAGATGCTAAAGATTATCAAAGATATAAGGAAGAATGAGATAGGAAAGAATCAGTGGAGATTCAGAAGAAAAGCTTAGAAATCATTGTAAATAGGAAGATAATTTAAGATGAACAGCTTCAAAATTGGGGACAATAAATAGGAGGAGATTACACAGTGTGAAACTGGGAGTAAATATAAGGAGACAGGTACAAGAATAGAAGATTAAACTCCAAAACCTTTATGTCAAATTTATGTCAAATTTCAGAGATTTATACTTGAAAAAATAATCAGCTTTTTGAGGGAAAAGATGCAATTATAAGTATATGGTAAAGCAGTCTTACTTTCTGTATTGTCAGCAGGATGAAATGTACAGTTTGAAGATGAACCATTTGCTGTGAATTAAAAAAAACAGTAGTAAAATGTTAGTTCCTTGGATGGCATATTAAATAATAAATAAAATTCTCATTAACAAATATTTTAAAACTTTTTAAATTATAATATTCTTATCCCAGACAAAGCTGGTAGGGCATACCCCACTTCCTAGAACATATTTCAAAGATATGTACATCAGAGGGTTGTGCTACAAACCATGTAAATTAAGATGTTCCTTTTAATCTCATGCATTACATTATTATTTTAACTTTACAAATGCAAAGATTGCAAAAAGAAATTATCAGTCACCTTAAAAAGAAAAAGGACTGGGGGGAAGAGATACAACCAGAACTAGAAAAGAAATATACTTTCTCCCAATGTATATGGAATTGAATAATCCGCCTTAAAGTAATGACACGTGATTCAGTCAAGGAATTCTGTGTAATTTTTTAAGCATCCTATTCTATTATTTAAATTCAGTTTTTCTTTACATTGTACTGAAGTTTTGGTTACTGACCATAATGATATAATTAACTTCTCTTAACTGATCAGGGAAATTTGATAATCATAATTTCTAGGAAAATGCATCCCTATTTTGCTACATTCTAATTCTTCACTACTCAAAAAGAAATGTACATTTCATTTTTAAAAGTTGTGCATTGAATAAAGGTGACTAAAGTAACTTGATCAAGTCATTGGTATATAAATTAATAAATACATAACTCAAAACCTAAAGGGACTATTTGATCTGATATTTTTGAGATCAATTATCATCAGAAAATGGGATATGGATCATAATTTCAAGCAAGAAAATGCCTATAACCCATTAAGTTGTAGCAGGGAGTTCCAGATCAAGGGGAAAATGTTCCTCACCTCCTTGCAGCAACTTTGTAAAAACTTTAAGAAAGGGAATCTATTTTCATCATTACAAAACCTGTTTTTATACAGGAAGGAAAGAAAACTTGTTCCGCATGACTCCATCTTAAGCATTCTTTTCTGTTTTGACCATCTCGGAATTTCATCGAGATCAATTCATCTCACGTTGTAGACATTCCTAGGAGAATGTGAGAAAATACACGAATACTTAATTTTAACTGCCTTAGATTTGTGCCTAATGTCCTACCTTTGTGTATACGAAGTTCCATGAAGCCATAAGCGTGCTGCAACACGTGCAGCTTCTTTTCTTTCTTGGACTCTATTATATAACAACAGTAGTATCCTTTGTCCTGAAGGGTAAGATTTGCTATGGTGACATGGAAAGTGCCATGATGATTTGAAAAGTATTCCAATCCGTGATGGGCGTATTTCGCAGCCGTGACATTCCCGTGAAGTTGGCTATGGTGCATCTCAGCTTCACGATGAAGCTCCTTAGAAGTGATGTTGCGGATATGCTTTCTTTGGGAACAGCCATGGTCAATTTTGTTGCTGAAGTACCAAACGATGGAGAGTAAATCATGGCGATTGGCGAGAACCCCACTGATTTTACAAGTCAGAGTGAGATTTTGACCTTCAGGACACACATAGAGCGAATAAGGGGTTATGATTTCAAAAGTTGCAGAATGAACTGTGTAGAGAAGAAAACAGAATGTCAGAGGTATATCGAATAATGCAATACTGTTCCAATAAATGTAACTTCACCCTAGCTTCTGTTTCCAGTGAAATTATAACTTCATTGAAAACCTACTTTCTGTGTGCTCTTTTAATATTTTATTTTAGCTTGATCATGAGCTTTTTTGAGGTGGGGTCACTTTTTCAATATCAATGGGGGAAATCATTTACTTAGCGTTTTTGATCTCATCAGCTGTAGTTATATACACAATTCAGTGCATGCAATCAAATATGAACAAAAAGGAAGATGTGGATCAAGAGGAGCGTATTGTTATTCGAACAAAATATTCTGGGCAGGATTTACCACTTCCACTTGTAGAAATGCTAGATATGTACTGTACAATTCAAAATAGCCTCCTTGTATATCTGTGCAGGTTTTCTTCCTTTTTTCTTTTGATATAAACCACCTGCTCAGTGCCTGGCTAAATACCATATGCTTGTCTCATCACTAGGCCATATTGTTAAAAAGTATTTGCTAATCCTGTTTTTATTCTGGGTGTGTGTGTGTGTAATTTTTATTCAGATTATAGCATAAAACACTAATGAAAATAAAGATAATGGGGAAATGGAAAAGGAAAAGAAAAAGGGAAGAGGAGTGTAGGTTAAAGGATCAAAACAAAAAGCATTTATTTCCATTTTTTTTCAGCTCAGTAAAATACAAATTAGAATTACATCCTCAACTTCTTACTTTCACATAGTTAGTAAATATTAGTCATTTCTATAAGGACAAACTAGTCAGCAAAACCCAAAGTCAAAAATTAATTCTGTCTCTAGCATAAAGACTAGAAGTGGTTTCTAAATAGAAACAAAATTAGATATATTATTTTCTCTGATTAACCCCTCTACTTTTGCCTCTAATCCCTTCTTTAAAAAATGCATTGTGCATCTCCTAAAGGAGATTACCTTCCAGGGATGATATCTAGGACAATCCAGAAAAATGTACAGTACAATTGCAGAGTCTGAACAGGTAAATACATGCTCTTGATTAAGGAATACATTTCAATTTACTCAACAGTACCAATAATAGAAGATGTGCCAATGTGAAAATTCTCCTATGAGATCAAATCAGGCAATGGTACAACTATATAATAAAGGGAGAGTGTGAACACTCATTATTGCATAAATGTGGTCTGTTGGTTCTATTTCTTTGTAAACTGGAATCTAAAATTCATTGCTTGATTTCTCTCCAAGCTTCATCAAAGCCTAGTATATGTATATATATAGAGAGAGAGAGTGAGTGAGTGACTCAGTGAGTATTAGTCGGACATTTTTTCCCCATCCTAAAAATTTATTTAAGCCAATAAACCTCGACCTATAACTTTTTTGACCAGCAGAATTTGCAACTGAACTCAAATGAAATACAGCTAAACTTTAACATTAGCAGTACATTAGCAACAAAGTGGGGAACGTTTAGAAATCTTAAAAATTTAGCTTGAACAGCTTTCAATACACAAATATCCTTGTCAGTGCAATTCTATGCACTATATAGCAAGACTCCACACTTTTTAGAATTAACATTTAATAGCTGCAGCTCCTTCAGTGTTGCCCCTATATGCGAAGTATTGAAGGGTTATAAAGAAATTACCTCCTCTACATCAAACTGCCAATTCCTCAGGCACTATCAAACCCACTACAATAATTACACTTTCCTTTTTTGTATCTTCAGTCAAAATTCCTCTTCACCCAGAAGTATGGTAGACTTTCCTTGAACACCCTGCTCAGTTTCAATTTATGAGTGACACTTGCAGACCAAATATTGAGATGAAGTCAACAACAGGATAGTAGCCCTGCTCTTTCTAATGAAAACTTTTTAATGCAATCTAATTAGTTCAATACAAAAATTTTAAACTTTTGCCACAGTTGTTAAGTGAATCATGCAGTTCTTAAGCAAATCTAGTTTCTCCCACTGACTTTGCTTGTCAGAAGCTATCCGAGAAGGTTTCAAAGTAATAAATCAATTGCAAGCAAGAACTCTGAGGCAGGTGAATTCCTCAAAGAATAGCTTTATTGGAAATATCATATTGGCACATATATGGTGAAAACCGACTCTGAAGGCCCCCTTGGGCTTCACATAATTAAAAGTTTTTTTCAACCCTCAACCCCAAACAATCAGTCACATGGTCCAATCATGGTAGTGTCCACTGGTCTGGTGACATCACTCCTCCTTCCCTCGGCCAGATGCAAGAATCTCCTTGGTTCCCAGGATAAAGTCTTGGAAAAGTATTTTATTTTGACTACACATGCCCAGCTATCTCTAATACCTCCCTATCCCTAACACTGAAGCTCCAAGATGGCTTCTCCTAGGTCAGCTTCAGAGTTAACCATCACATGGGCCTGCAACTATGATAAACATAGGCCAGTTACCAAGCAACCAAATTTTGATTATGTGGCCCGTCATGCTTGCAAGGGTTGTCATTTTTTTTCAGTGACTTTGTAACTTTGAATGGTCACTAAAGAAATGGATGTAAGGTGAGGACTACCTTTAGCAGCCTCTTTACAGTAATATCGTATTTATCTCCTCTAAACTTTGTGTAACTATGTCATTTCCCTTTACACACTGGCAGTGGCTGTTGGATCAGGGCAAAATAGGAACTATATCCACCCTTATGTTTAGCCAAAAAAAAAAAAAAACCCACTTACATTCATTCTTTTAAAACCATTTTTAAAAGTATATGGCCTTCATCACCAACTTCTTAAACACCTTTTTATAAAATGTGAGAAGTCTGTTGATGTTAACAACCCTATATGTTTTCATTAAAAGAAGCACATCCTGTTCTCCTTTATTTTCAGTGTGAGGTAAGTGATGCTGTTAAAAATATGAGACTCTTTTTAAACAAGGTAGCGCTAATCCCATATAGTTAGGTACATCTTGCTCACACAGCAAGATGGGGCAATGAGGAAAATTTAACAACTGATTTATTGTATTCTTCTTTGTCAGTCTTTCATGAGCTTATGGGACCCTTCACGCAGATAGTGTTAGTAATTCCTCATGTTTCAAACTTGTAACAGAGGAGACTGCTGAGGAATTTAAGATACGGCAATATAAATTGCTCAATCCTCTTGCAACCCATCTTCATATCTTTAATTTTGTGGTTATTGATAACTGCCCTACTCATTGACTTTAAAATATTACTACAGTTTGTTTGTTCCATCACTGGATAAGCTGTTTGGCCTCCTAGGTGGAAGTTTAATTCTCAAAAGGACATTGCAGTTCTCCAGTTCTTTTCCACAACTCCCACATTCTTCCAATAGTGGTCTGTATCACGAGTCCTCAACCCCCAATTGGTGGATCAACACTGGTCCACAGCATGCCAGCAACGGGTCCACACAAACACGGGATGTAGGCACCACACAAAACTACGCTCCCCTCCAGCCTGCAGAAAAACCTGTCTCCATAGAACCGGTCCCTGGTGCCGCAAAAACTGGGGGCTACTGGTCTATATTGTTCACCTATTGTTCTATAACAAAATCTCATATTGTAAGAACTGGTTTAATTTCCCATTAGGTAAATTATTATATATTCATGATTCAAGATCTTCTAGTTCACTTGACTACAAAAATCTATACAAACAAGAGAAGAGGGTGAATATGTTTTTCCACCTTTCATAAGTTCCCGCTTTTATTTTCTGAATTTGGGTACTTTTCATCTTGTAAGTTTTCCTACAGTTTGAGAATCTTTAAGCTGTTAATAAAGGGGCTCAGTGGCTAAGACACTGAGCTTGTCAATCAGAAAAATCGGCAGTTTGAATCCCTAGCACCGCGTAACTGGAGTGAGCTCCCATTACTTGTCCCAGCTTCTGCCAACCTAGCGGTTCAAAAGCATGTAAAAATGCAAGTAGAAAAATAGGGACCACTTTTCCGTGCGCCTTCGGTGTTTAGTCAAGTTGGCCATGCCACCACAAAGACGTCTCCGGACAGCGCTGGCTCTTCAGCTTTGTAACGGCGATGAGCACCGCCCCATAGAGCCAGAAACAACGAGCACATAGAGAAGGCATCTTCTGAATGCTAACATTCATTTAATAAAACTAAAGTATTAAAAGCTGACAAACTGAAAAAGACCAGAAGCACTTAAATGAACCAGAAGTTCTTCATAGTGCAACATAATTGAAGTCTGGAGGATAGTTCTCTGCAGAGGTGGTATTCAGCAGTTTCTAACAGGTTCTGAGGAACCGGTAGCAGAAAATTTTGAGTAGTTTGGAGAACCGGCAACACCCACCTCTGACTGGCCCCACCCCCATCTCTTCTCTGCCTCCCGCGTCCCAGCTGATCGGCTGGGTCTTCTTTTGTTGCCCTGCCCAGGAGAATGGAGCTGGAAAACAGGCTAGTGGGGTGGGGAGGGAATGGGATTTTGCAGTATCCTTCCCCTTCCACACCCACCAAGCCATGCCCACAGAACCGGGAGTAACAAATGTTTGAATCCCACCGCTGATTCCCTGTGTACTTCTTTAAAACAGTATACATTGATAGAATTCAGTCTCTAGCAACTGATAGTGGTCATTCATTGCTTTCATGGTTTTTTGATGATGCCCAGTACAGGTAGTCCTTGACTTACAATCATTTGTTTAGTGACTGAAGTTACAACTACACTGAAAAAAGTGATTTATGACTGTTTTTCACATTTATGACCATTGTAGCATCCTTGCAATTACATGGTCAAAATTTGATTGGCACCTTGCATGTGTTTATGATAGTTGCAGTATCAGGGTTATGTGATCATCAGTTGTAACCTTCCCAAGTGGCTTCCAACAAGCAAAGTCAATGGAGAAAGCCAGATTTGCTTAATGAGTGTATCGTTCACTTTTAATTTTAGGCTGAATTGTTGTTGTAAGTCAAGGTGTAGCTGCATATGGAAATAATCCCAGTCCCTTAAAATTAAAGTGTGCTTGTCTTACACAGTTTAGTATCCATCTTGTTATTTTTTTCTTAAATACCAGTAAATATTTTAAGCAAATGTACCCATGCTATAAGCTTAAGTAGTGTTGTAATATAAAAACTGTCTTGTTCACCTAGTATGTGAACATAGCAATCAATTTAAATTTATGAATATAAAACTAAGATTGGAACTATTGTTTATTAACCAATGCTAAATTCTATTTTATACAAAATGCTACCGCCTCAGAAAACACCCGTGTTCTTCTATTCCAGATACCTGTAACGTCTCCAAATGACCTTCTAACTCATGGCTTCCACAGAGATATACTCATACCAACATCCAACTCCGCTCACTGGGTTGTTTCAGATAACTGCTATTTTAGGAGAGGTTTTAAGAAGTTACTTTGAGTCTTGTGGCGAGTTTGCTGTTATCTGCTACTTTTGCAAAAGGAGTTAACTACACAGTATTTTTTTTAAAAAAAAAAAAACAATCCTATTGCTCAATGCAGCTGTGCTGATCTGCTTTCTTGGGTTGATTTGGAAGATACTTGGTGTACTAATGGATAAAGTGAGCCAGTTTGCCTAATGGTTTAGGGCAGGGGTCTCCAACCTTGGCAATTTTAAGCCTGGCGGACTTCAACTCCCAGAATTCCCCAGCCAGCTTTGCTGGCTGGGGAATTCTGGGAGTTGAAGTCCGCCAGGCTTAAAGTTGCCAAGGTTGGAGACCTGGTTTAGGGCTTTAAATATTTAAATTTAGGGCTTTAAATATTTAAATTTAAATTTTAGCAACCAGGAGCCTGTGGAGTTATAATCCCATTTTAGGCATGAAAGCCTGCTTGGGTGACTGGGCCAGTGACACTCTCTCTCTCTCTCTCTCTCTCTCTCTCTCTCTCTCTCAGCCCAACCCACCTCGCAAGGTTGTTGTTGTTTGTGGGGAGATTAAAAGTGGGATATTTTTTTTTAAAAAAAAAAGCTTGTTTTTTTTAGTGATTTCAGCCGGCGTGTCTTCAGTACTCGCCCCATCGCCCCATCCCATCCTCCCAAAACCAGTTGCTTTCTAGCCAACCATCCGCGCCCGCTTCTTCTCAAGCGTTTCCTAACGCCAGGAGCTGCTGCGGAGCAGAGGCGCGCCCCGCTTCTCACCGAGACAGGTGCCGGGGGCGCCCCCGTTTCCCTTGCAAGGCTTAAAGGAGCTCCGCAAGACACGGCTCCGGGAAGGGACGCCCGAGTGCAGCCTTCGCCTATAGCCTTGAGGGGAAATTGGGGGGGGGGGGAATTGTTAACCCTGCCCCGCTTGCCCCCCCCCCCGCGTTTGAAAAAGGGGCGCTCTTTTTTTGGGGGGGGGGTGCAGAAGGTCCAAATAGGAGGCGGGTTCAGCCTCCGAGCCGTCCCGGGGATGGAGCAAGCAGAAGGAAACGCAAAAGGAGGGACGGGCGCGACGGGGGGTGGGGGGGCAGAGGACAGGTCCTTCTGGAGATGGCGACCCCCCCCCCGACCCGGCCCTTACCTTGGAGGCTAGTCAGAAGCAGCAGCGCCAGCTGGACCAGCAGCCCCCCCTTGGCGGCCGCCTCCATTTCGTCCCTGGGAGGAAAAAAAAAGGCGGTGGGGGCGAGAACCCGGGTGGGGGGGGGGGGTTCCAGTCAGAGGGCGCGCGCGCTCCGGTCCTGCGCGACGACACGCGGCGGGGTCGGGGTTGTCAGCCCGAAGGAGACGGGGCCGGCGGGGTGGGGGCAATGGGGGTGGGTGGAGGTTGCCCCGAGTGCCGGAAACGTGCTGATTTGGTCGCCCCGGAGCGCAACTTGGGGCAAGCCGGAACAACGACCGACGAGCACCCCCAGGAGGCCGGCCGGCGCCAGAAGCGAGAAACTCCCGGGGAATCTAAAGCCTAAAACGAGCCTCTCCGGGCAAGCCCTCTCTACCTGAGGAGGGCGGGGCTAAGCTTGGGGACCGAGCTGCCGAAGTAGCCCGCCTTTTTACCTCAGAGATGTGTGTGAGAGAGAGAGAGGGCCGGACGGGCGTCCTGCGGCTTGGCGGGAATTTGAGAGGGACGGTTAAGAAATAGCCCAGCTGCGCTCTTGGCAGAACTGAGGAAAAGCACCTGGCTGGGAGAGGGGGGACGGGGCAATGCAGGCGAACCAGTCTCGGAATACGCTGGTTTCGCTTAAAAGAGAAGCGGGACCCTTCCGACGAAAATGAGTCAAACCCCGGTTTAGGGGTCTAACAGCCTTCGGCTGGTGAGAAAACGCCCTCGCAGGTCGGGAAGGGCGCGGGCGTTAATCCGAGATAGCTTGCCCCGGCGACGAGCGCCAAGAAGAAACCAAACGGAAGTGCCAAACTGGACAAGAAAAAGCAACTTCGCTTTTATTTTGGGCGCCTCTGCTCGAATTAAAAGTTCTGTAACTGATTAAAGTCATCAACACTTCATTATTTGTGTGTGTGTGTGAGTGAGTGTGAGTGAGTGAGTGAGTGTTGGCTTCTGGCAACGGCTTGCACAAGTGCCTGCGGTTTCCTGTGGGCAAGGTTTTTTTCGGGAGTGGTTTGCCTTTGCTTACTTGCGAGGGCCTCATGTCTTGACTCTACGCCAAATTAGCCCTCATTCCTCATCTCTCTAAATTCGGTTAGGATATGAACATTGAGAAATATTAATAAACCAGGATTATTTTCTTGCTGGCCATTATCTGGGAGTTTATGGACTAAGGAGTTTAGATAAAAAGTTTTGTATCCAATTTGCCTCTATTTGGACAGAGTTTAAATCGTCTAAAAGCCGCTTTATTTTAAAAGTCCCTAAAGCATTGTGAAATCATGTGTTGCCATGTATTTCTGTTGATTGATCAAGATTACTACTTCCAAAAGATTCACTTTAAAAGTCACAAATGAGCAGATACTGACTTGTAAAATCATAAGACCACTAGCTTGTAAATCATGAAGCAAAAGAGGCAAGTAAAATATGCAAATTTGACCTTTGCCAAATTCCAGTACGCCTATTGATATGATATATTGGTTTGTGCTATTCCTGGACCAACACAGCTATTGCTGGTAATTGTAAAGAACTTGGGCTCTACATAGGTGTGCAAAAACATGTAATAATTCTAATCTTTTCATCTATTGATGTAAATGTTCATTAAAAGTCTAATTTGGAATTACTTATAGCAATTCCCTAGAGATCCTGAGATGTGCTACAGATAGTCTTTGACTTATGACCACAATTAGGACTAGAATTTTTGTTGCTAAGCAAGGCATGCCTGATTTTACAGGGATTTGTGTGTGTGTGTGATTGTTAAGCGAGTCATTGCAATTAAGTGAATTGCATAGTCATTAAACAAATCCAGCTTCCCGTTAACTGCTTGTTGGAAGCCACCTATGTATGTTGCAAAGAGCAATCACATGATCCCAGGACATTGAAACCATTGTAAATATACACCAGTTGCCAAGTGCCCAAATTTTGATGCTACATGGGCATAAGTGCAAGCAGAGGTGGTATTCAGCAGGTTCTGACCAGTTCTAGAGAACCAGTAGTGGAAATTTTGAGTAGTTTAGAGAACTGGCAAATGCCACCTCTGACTGGAGATTTTATAGAATAGAATAAAATGGAATAGGAATAGATTAGAATTCTTTATTGACCAAGTGTGATTGGACACACAAGGAATTTGTCTTGGTGCAAATGCTCTCAATGTACATAAAAGATATATTTGTCAAGAATCATAAGGTACAACACTTCATAGTAGTCATAGGCTACAATAAGCAATCAAATCATACTAGGAAACCGTGAATATAGATCGTAAGGATACAAGCAACTGTTACAGTCATACAGTCACAAGTGGGAGGGGATGGGTGATAAGGAGCGATGAGAAGATTAACAGTAATAGTGCACACTTTCTAAATAGTTGAACAGTGTTAAGGGAATTATTTGTTAGCAGAGTGATGGCGTTCGGGAAAAAACTGTTCTTGTGTCTAATTGTTCTGGAATTGAAACAGTTTATGTCCGGGATGTGAGGGGTCTGTAAATATTTTCACATCCCTCTTTCTGACTCGTGCAGTATACAGGTCCTCAATGGAAGGCAAATTGGTAGTAATTGTTTTTTCTGCAGTCCTAATTACTCTCTGAAGTCTGTGTCTGTCCTGTTGGGTTGCAGAACCAAACCAGACAGTTATAGAGGTGCAGGTGACAGACTCAATAATTCCTCTGTAGAACTGGATCAGTAGCTCCTTGGGCAGTTTGAGCTTTCTGAGTTGCCGCAGAAAGAACATTCTTTATTGTGCTTTTTTGATGACGTTTTTAATGTTAGGTGTCCATTTTAGGTGTTGTGATATGATAGTACCTAGAAATTTGAAGGTCTCTACTGTTGATACTGTGTTGTCTAGTATTGTAAGAGATGGTAGTATGGGAGGGTTTCTTCTAAAGTCTATCACCATTTCTACGGTTTTGAGTGTGTTCAGTTCCAGCTTGTTCCGGTTACACCACAAGGCCAGTTGTGCAACCTCCTGTCTGAATGTGGATTCAGCGTTGTCTCGAATGAGACCAATCACTGTTGTGCCATCTGCAAACTTCAGTATTTTAACAAATGGATCGTTTGAGATGCAGTCATTGGTATACAGGGAGAAGAGAAGTGGAGAAAGCACACAGCCTTGGGCGGGGGGGGGGGGGGGCGGCTGTGCTAATTGTACAGGTATCAGATGTGATTCTGCCTAGCTTCACCTGCTGCTTCCTGTCTGTTAGGAAGCTTATGATTCACTTACAAGTGTGTTTAGGTACCGCTCGTTGGTTTAATTTACTTAGAAGAGTATCTGGAATGATGGTATTGAATGCTGAACTGAAGTCTACAAAGAGGACCCCTGCGTAGGCAATTGGAGATTCAAGGTGTTGTAGGAGGTAATGCAGAGCCATATTAACAGCATCATCCTTCCCCTGCCACACCCACCAAGCCACACCCACGGAACTGGTAGTAAAAAAAAAATTGGAATCCCACCACTGAGTGCAAGGTCTGGTTGTAAGTGACTCTTGAGTGCTGTTGTAACTTCAAACAGATGCTAAATGAGTAGTTGTAAATCAAGGATTATCTATACTGCAGAAGTACAAGTACACAGTTGAGTATTCAGTAAATGTTTCAAATTCAGTTGATAGAATATTCTTCTGCATAGGATCCAGAATATTGTAGGCGTAACAAATTACAGACAATCAGAAACTCTTCAAACATAGCATATTAATTGGTCTCATATGGGTGCATTGAACCATGTTAAAAATGGTACAAATAAATAAAGTTTACCTCCCATCTTACGAGGGGATATGTACATAATATATTCAGCTATAGAATACCGTAGTATCAGATGTGTATGCTCCTATATCTGAAAAGTACAGTAGTACATATTGGATACATTTCTTAAAAATTGAAGAATTGTTTGCTGCCTAACCAATGTAAGATCCATTTCTTAGGAATCATTATTAATATTTTGTATCATTCCAATTTTAGTATATGTGCTGCTGAAGCGAGCACATTATATTTTAATGACAGTGCTTGTTATTAGCTATTATACTAAAGCCCAGAATTAAGTTTCCTTTAGGATGTAATTGTAATGTTTATGCACTCTGATGACTGTTTCCTGATGAAAATGAAGCTGTTCTAATTATTAACTTAAATGGAGACCATGATCAAGTTTGCTTTTTTGTTGTTGTTACCAGGATTGATATGTGTCTTACTTGCTGGTTTATTAATATCTAAAAAGAATTGATTCCCCATTTCAATAGTTATCGTCCCTTAGTCCAGAATTTGCAGAAATTCTATAATTTATGCAGAACCAGTTTTGGACATTAAATCAGAGGCAAATTTACTATTCTGCATTTAGTCTGAAGTTCAATCCTTTGACATCAAAAGTTTGATCTAAAACTGTGGCAGACAGCATCATAGTCATGATAAGAAAAAAAAAACCGGTTTAAGGTAAAACAGTTTCCTATATACTTTCCCCCAGTCTTTTGCTTCTAAACAAACATAGGATGTCATGCATTATTTTCTTATCTAGATTTGACATTTCTTATATCTGCTGGTATGGTGGAGTGAGTAAGTGTTTTACTTTGAAACTAAAATAAGACTAGAAATTAAAAGGGCATTTTGTTTTGCAGAAATTAATATTTGGGAGACCACTTTTCTTTCATATACAACTGTGCAAGATGTATCTTTAGAAACAGAAGTGAAATATAATTGGAACAAATGAATGTGTTGCTTTTACTTGTTTTGGTAACTTACAAGGATAGAAAATTTGACTATAGAAATAGCCCTGTTTGCCCTGTTAGCACTTAACACACAGGTAGTCCTTGACTTAGGACCATAGATAAGCTCAAAATTTCTGTTGCTAAGCAAAACAGTTGTTAAGTGAGCTTTGCCCCATTTTACAACCTTTCTTGCCACAGTTAAGGGAATCACTGCTGTTGCTGAGTGAGAAACTCTGTTGTTAAGTGAATCTGGTTTTCCCATTGATTTTGCTTGTCAGAAGGTCACAAAAGTTGATCACATGACCCTGGGACATTGCATCTCTCATAAATACTTGCCAATGTCCGAATTTTGATCATGTGACCATGGAGATGCTGTGATAAGTGTACA